GAGCAAACTGAAGGAGAGAGGTATCACAGTAAGTAGCTAAACAAGAATTCAAACGTACTTGTGTGACTTTAAGGCCCATGCTCTTTGCAGATGTTGTCCCTTTAGTATGTACTAAATTAAAGGTATAATTTCTTGTTTATGACATGTATTTTAATCTTTTCATCATTCACTGTTACTCTCATAAGGCCTGTCTTTTGGGTTTCTGATGAACTTTTGTCTTTGTAAAAATGACATATACTCCTTATTAGAACGTTTAAACATTTAGAAAAGTATAAAGATCAGGAAATCTCAAATCTTACCAGCCAAAGGTACTCTTGATATTTGACATTTTATAGTGCACTTTTTTACATAATTGAAATCATAGTATGTGTAATTTTGAACCTTGAATTTTCATCATAATGACATAGGCATTTTCTTTATATGGTTGCCAACACGTATTATTTGATATGTATGTACCATGATATAAGTAAAGGGATTATTCCCCCTTGGGCATTTAAGTGCTTTCACTTTTTTCCTTTTGTAAATACCATTGAGATCAAGAACAGTCTTGTACGTAACCAGTCAGGATGTTCCTTGCTTTCTCCACTAACCCCTCCCACATGCACACGCCAGACCCATTTATCCCATCCTGCCCACCACTAAGGATGTAGAGTCAAATTTGTGTTCATGAATTACTCCGATAGTTTTGTCCATCTGTCTCTCTGTCCTTCCTTTCTTCCTGTCTCCCCCTTGAATATGCTTATAGTATTTTTGAAGTATAATTAGGTTCATTTGTTTTAGTTTCCTTTCAATTTTAGATGCTTCCCTTCTTCTCATTCTTTCTCATTTTGTTTTTTACATATGTAGAGTATTAACATGCTTTCCAAAGTCCAAACTATTCAAAAACCAAACCTGTCTTGTATACTGCATCTGCTTACATCTACTCAGGATTTTGCTCTAGCAGTTATCTGTCCTTACTATACTATCAGTAGTTTTTGTTTTCTATATCATTATCACCAGCATATAAGCTTACTGAGTTTTCTTTTACCTTAATAAAAAAACAAAACCTGATTACAGGCTGTTTGTTTTTCCTGCCTCATGGTTCTTCTTTTTTTTAATCTCCTTTACTGGATTCTTTTATATTTCCTTGGCCTCTTAATGGTCTCTGACCACAGTGTTTGAGCCATTTGATTTTCTGTCTTCATCTTGCGACCACAGATACCATTTATAACATTGATGATTACCAAATTTATATCTGCAGCTACAGAATGAGATTTGAATATCTAACTACCTAATTGGTATCTCTTCTTGGATATCTAATAGTCATCTCTTAAACTGTTCAAAGCCTAAATTCTGATCCTTAATCACAAACTAATTTTTCCCTATTTTTCTTTACCCTGAAAATGACAACTCTATTCTTCCATTTACTAAGACTAAAACCTTGGAGTCATCCTTGACTTCATTCTTTGTAATCAATTCCTTTTGGCTTTCCCTTTCGGATATATCTAGATTATTCCCTTTGTGCCGCTTCCTACTCTTCTTTCTTTATTCAAGGCAATATCTTGTCTTACCTGGATTATTGTAATAACCTCCTGTCTTGGCTGCCTGCTTCTGTCCATGTCCACCCTTTCATATATTCTCAGTGGAGTGAACCTTAAAAATTAAAGTTTCCTATTCTAGGGGTGCCCGAGTGGCTCAGTCAGTTGAGTGTCTGACTTCTGCTCAGGTCGCGATCTATGGTTTGTGAGTTTGATCCCCACATCGGGCTCTGTGCTGACAGCTCAGAGCCTGGACCCTGCTTTGGATTCTGTCTCTCTCTCTGTCCCTCCCTGCTCATACTTTGTCTTTCTGTCTCCCTCTCAAAAATAAGTAAACGTTAAAAAACTTTTTTTTAAAAAGTTTCCTATTCTAGTTAAAACCATCTCTAGTCACTTTCATTTTTGCTCAGGATAAAACCAGAGTCCTTAGAGTGGCTTTAAAGATCCCACATGATTTGGCCCTTATTATTTCTCTAACTTACTCCATCTCCTTTTAGTCTTGCCTTTTTGTTCATTTCCTCCAACCACATTGATCTTCTTGCTATTCCTCAGACATGCCAAGCATGTTCCCACCTCAAGTTTTTACCTTTGCTTTTCCTTGGCCTAGAGCATTCATTCCATTAGGTATCTGTATAGCCACCTCCTTCACTTCCTTCAGATCTTTGCCCAAATGTCATTTTTCACTGAGGATTTTCCTGTCAACCCCCTTAAAAATTAAAAGGTCCTCTGCTTGCCCTTGCTGTCTTAATTTTGCTTTGTTTTTTTTCCCTCCATAGTCAGAATCTGGCTTACTACATATTTAACTTATTTTTTCATTCTTTTCAGAACCCAGTCCCCTTAAGTTCCATGAAGACAGATTTTTATCTGTTTTGCTCGTTGTCATATTTCCATTGCCTGTTAATTTATAGGTATCAGTTAGTATTTATTGAATGAATGAATGAGTGAAATGGTTAAGGCCTTATAGAATCAAGTCCCTTCATTGTCCTCTCAGGTTTATCTTCTGCTCCTCTGGTCCTCTTTTTACATTGAAGATGCTGATCTTTTTTCAGTTCTATTTTATACCGTGAGTCCTCCTTCCTTCCCTTCTTTTCCTTGCCTAGTTAACTTCTACTCATTCTTAAATATCAGCTCAAAAGTCCCTGTTTTCATAGAAGCTCTAGATTAAAACCTTGTACTGTATTCTCTCTTAGTCATGCTTTTTGGTGTTCTGTCTACCCAGCTGAACTGAGAACTGCACAAAGGCAAGGACTTCTTGAGTGTACTGCTTGTCAGTATATGTGTCTGAATAGTGAATTCTCAGTAAGTAGGTATTGAATGATCCCTTCTAGCTCTAATAGTCTGCCTTGACGTAGTTAGTGGCAGGCTATTCCTATATGATTAGCAGTAGGACCCTATCAGGAAATGTCATAGTATTAAACCAAATATGATTGGTGGTGAGTATAATATAACCTAGCATCACTGGTCATATATGGGTTAAATATGAATTCTGCATTTCTCAGGTGACCTTCTGTGAGAAAATATATATCCAGATAAAATATGGCTCAAGAAATTCTGGTTTAGAGTCAATGGGAAGCATGTGTATGTTGATAGATATTCTTGTTGATGTGTAGGGCATAACCAGTATATTTTGTTCCCTTTAATATTTATTTTCAAAAAGCAGTAAAAGACTGGCTGATAACTCTTGATACCTGGTAGTTAATATTGTCAGTAGTTTTCATTTTGAAAAAAGTATTTCCTGGGAAGTTAGCAGTTTTTCATTTTTTAGGGTTGTTTGATTTATTTATTTTTTTATTTGAACAGTTTTTAGTTAAAGTTGAATATAAGATTACTTTATTCCTGCATCTTCTCAATTGTTTCTTCCTTATATTTACCCTTTTCCTTTCCTACTAGGCAAGATGTGGCTTTATGTTCAAGGATCTTTTGGCGGTCTTTTTCTACTTTTAGTCTAATGATAACCATCTTGCCAGGATGAATGCCCATATGGACAGTTGTGCCATTCGCCTTTTTCACAGTACTTGTTTAGTGTAGATGACCTCGACTACTTTGCCAATTTGCTGACATTCATAGTGTCCTTGCACAACTTGTAATTCATCATCCTTTCAGATGGTCGTGGATCGAACATTGTACTTCTGTCTCAGCTCTTTTTTTTTATTACTGTTTTCATCATTATTAGTTGAGATATTGGGCATATAAGTTAATAAGTTAGTTTCTCATTATGTTCACTCATCTAAACAGTGGAAATAAAAATAGTATTGACTCTAATGGGTTATTGTGGGAATTAGATGAAGTAGTAATGCTTACAAACGAAGAACCTGGTACACAGTAAACCCTTGGAAAATGTCCAATATTATTTAAACTTTTATTGTTACTTCCAGTCTTTTTTCTTAAGTTTAAGAATTTTCATTCTTCATCATCGAGATTCTGTGTTCTTTAGAATTTAGGGTCCACTCTCCCATGGGACTTTTGGCACTTTCATTAAGCACTTTTTTTTTTTTTCCATTAAGCACTTTATACTTCATTTATCTAAACTCTTACATAAAGGGTAAATGGTATTTGTACAGTGAATTTAGGATCATAAATAATTGGTATTTTTAAGTGTCACATAGGAAACACTGAAATTAGCTGCCAAGTAGACTTGCATGGTCCTCTTCTTCAGAGACCTTTTAGAAAAAGATTTATGTACTCTGAAGTATTCTTGAATGATCTGGGTTAGTTTCTAAATCTTGGAATCTCTGGATGATTCTAAAAGGAGTACTGATAACCTTTGATACTGTTCTTGAGATGATGAATGGTGGCAGCTGCTCTTGCTACTTCTAAAGGGTTTCTTTAACCTTCTTTGTAGGTTGGTTAATAGAATAGGAATATCCCTTTTTGCGAAGTGGTTGTAGCAAAGTGAGCATAATGTGATATGGGATGGCTTTGAGCTATCCCCCCTGCCTCGCATAGTACCTGGAATAGTGGATGCTACTTAAATATTAATAAATTTGAAAGGCAGTAAGAACCAGATGATTGTATATGGGAATATGATATTCAAATGTATCCTGAGAACACTGTAGGCTTTGTGTATGGGAGCTATGGATAAGAGATCAAAACAATAATAACAAACCACATCAAAAAATATGGATTAAAGTAGAGCTTATCACTGCGGTTTTGTGTTTCTTTGTGCTGCTATTACATTTTTTTTTAAATGTTTTATTTCTAGGAGAGAGAGAGAGACAGCGTGAGCAGGGGAGGGTCAGAGAGAGAGGGAGTCACAGACTGAAACAGGCTCCAGGCTCCGAGCTGGCAGTCAGCACAGAGCCCGACGCGGGGCCCGAACCCACGAACCGCGAGATCATGACCTAAGTGAAAGTAGGACGCTTAACCGACTAAGCCACCCAGGCGCCCCCTGCTATTACATTTTTAATGCTCTGTATATTTGCAAGAATGACTGGGGTATAATAACTGACACTAAAATAAATGCCAATATATGTTCTCTTTCAGATTTACTAAAAATTTATCTCCTGACAAGATAAATCTGAGTACCCTCAAAGGAGAAGGTGAACTGAAGAATTTGGAGCTGGATGAAGAGGTGCTCCAGAATATGTTGGATTTGCCAACATGGCTTGCTATCAACAAAGTTTTCTGTAATAAAGCATCTATTAGGGTGAGATTTTTGATATCTGTGGAAAGCATTTTCTATTTTCATTTTTTATTTCATTCCTGTCTTAAAATATTTTGTTGTAGATAGTTCAATAAAAAAGCATTTTTATTAACATAATTTAAAAAGACATAACTGTGTCTAAATAATTGCAAGAATGTGTGTCTGGTGAACTTAATTGAAGTCATATACTAATGTATTAGAAATTTGACACATATTCAAAGATATTTTTTCATAGTATTTGTTGTTAATTGGGACAATTTAAATTTGTAGTAAGTAAACACAATTTCAAATAAAAATGTGAAGACACAAATCCTTATTCTGTACACCATACTTTTATTTGACATTTTATTTCCTCATTTGTTTTTTCCTTGAGGATTTTTAAGTTTATTATTTCTTATTGTTATTCTTCCTTATTAAAATTTATTCCTATTTACCTTTGACTTTAATTGTATATCATATCACTTCTTGCACTTAAAGACCAGGTGTTTTGAGAATCTTCTCAGTAGAAATACTGCAGGAGTAATCTGTTTCATAAAATTAAAATTGGACTCCAAAGAAAAGATTGTGGAAAGATTCATATATTCTTTGATGGTCACCTTTAATTTTTGTTATATCCTACATATACCTAAATATCTATAAAGATGTGACTTTTTAGATGTGAGGCATGCTTGGACATTAGTTATTTGATATTACCTATGTTTTACATGAATAGCCTTGTTTTTGTATTTTTCTTGATACAAAAAGATTGGTTAGAATTTTCTATTCTTTTCTTTTTAATTTTTTAAAAACATTTTATTTTTAAGTAACCTTCACACCCAACGTGGGGCTCGAACTCATGACTCTGATATCAAAAGTCATATGCTCTTCTGACTGAGCCAGCCAGAAGCCAGAAGCTGTGGTCAGAATTTTAGAATTAAAAAAACTGTTAAATGAACAAAACACTGATCATGCTTTGCTGGGAAATCTTAATTTAAGTTATGAAGTTAACGGGTGCCTGGCTGGCTCAGTCTATAGAGCATGTGATTTTTAATCTCAGGGTTATGAGTTGTAAGTCCCACATTGCGTATGGAGCCTACTTTAAATAAATTACGAAGTTAACATGTGTTTTAAGGTCTGGAAAAAAAAGAAACTTAAGAGGACCTGAAATTCTTATTTTAATAGATAATCAAGAAAATATGATTAGTAGTCTTTCCCTATACAAAACAGGTACATCTGATTTTAAGAGTCTGAATGAATTGCTCATTTTATTACTTTGCAATTTGAGAAAAAAGTCTTCTGATAAAATTTGGTACGTCTGTCACTATATTAAGAGAACATCTGGGAAGCCTGCGTGGCATAGTTGGGTAAGCGTCTGACTCTTGATTTTGGCTCAGGTCATGATCTCATGGTCCTGATATTGAGCCCCACATTGTGCTCTGTACAGCAAAGAGCCTCCTTGGGATCCTCTGTCTCCCTCTCTCTCTGCCCCTATCCCACTCATGTGTGGGCACATGTGCGTGCTCTCTACGTAAATAAACTTTTTTTTTAAAAAGAACATATGTGTTGATTGCTATTTTTTAATGATTGATTTTAAAGAAAATAATTTTTAAAAACTTTTTCTTTTGGTAGATCCCATGGACCAAATTGAAAACACATCCCATCTGTTTGGTGAGTTCTGCATTGCCTCAGAAATAAACATTTATATATGCATATGAGCTATGTACTTTGCTAATATTAATCCTTATTTCATAGAAATATGATCTTCTGGCTTTTCCCACTAATTAGCTTTTATTTTATTTGAATGGTACTTAGTTTTCTCAGCCCTTAAATGAGAAGTTTGAACTTTAAAATGGGAGGGTCTTTAAAATTTTTCAGATGTATTATATTATGTTCTAAGTTGGTATATTTTTATTGTATCATTTAGCTCTTTATTGATATACTGTGGCAGTTTTAATAACATTTAATTCAAGCTTTCTGTGTTTCCAATTTTAATCGTGTAGTAAATTAAATATGTACATTAATATACTTTCCTTTTTTAAAGAAAATTGAAGAAAGGTTGGTCATTTGGTTACTTACTGATTCGTTTATTCCACAAATATTTATTGAGTATCTTCCCCATTCCCTTAGGAAGTTTAATATTTTTATAGAGGAGACTGACAATGAATACGTAAGCAAATAAAGCACTTTCAGATAATAAATGCTGTATTAAAATAGAGAATGAAGAATTACTAAGTTTTGTTAGTGATGATTACCAAGGACATTTGATCTTCAAGAAAAACTGTTACCTTGAAAGAAATTTTTTTCATTTTGGAAGTGTTTATTTTTTCACATTTCTTGCATATTTCATATTTTTCATTGTTGTATGTCTTAAATCTCAAGTTTTTGATTAGGATAAGCTTTTATGGTTACTTAAGTCCCATTCATTAATATATAATCTCATGTAGCAATTAATAATGTTATACATTCTGGGATTAGAGATTGTACTTGTGTAAAATCCGATTTCACCAGCATATGGCTACTTGTAGTTTTTTTCTATCATAATCCTGTATGCCCACAGCTTTTCTTTTAATATCAGATAATAAGCGCCTTGAGAAAGGACTGAGCACATTTTCTGTTTTGGTATTTGTCTGAAAGACATTTAAAGTGACTCTGCTCACTTATTGTTTACTTTTGTTCCTAAAGATATGAAAGAGGATTAACATAATATTTTCATGATATACATAAAATAAAATACTGTATCTAATTTTTTACATTTTTAATGTATTTTTATTAGTCCCTGGATAAAGTAATAATGGAAATGAGTACATGTGAAGAACCCCGAAATCCTAATGGCCCCTCACCAATTGCAACTGCTTCAGGACAAAGGTAAGCTATTTCCATTAATCTACTTGACTGGCAAAAGGAGTCCTTTTTTGTAGTCAGCTCTGTTATCTGTAGTGATGGGACATAAAATAAAATTCTCTAATGCCATAGTCTCTATTTCAGTCATCTTTCCCATCAAACATTTGCAGTTTTGATATTATGCTGCCAAAATAGTAGAACTGATTTTTAGCCTCTTTTGTTCATTTTGCTTTCCTTGACATTAAATAGTAATGATCAACCAAAGCTTCTATAAATCAGATAGTCTCTTAGTCTCTGAGTAGTTTTTTGCCTATCATGTATTTATTCTATGCATCAGTAGAACTTTTATGACTCTTAAGAGTTAAGTGATGCCGGGGCGCCTGGGTGGCTTAGTCAGTTAAGTGTCCGACTTTCACTTAGGTCATGATCTCGTGGTTCGTGGGTTCGAGCCCCGCGTCGGGCTCTGTGCTGACTGCCAGCTCAGAGCCTGGAGCCTGTTTCAGTCTGTGACTCCCTCTCTCTCTGACACTCCCCTGCTCGTGCTGTCTCTCTCCTCCTAGAAATAAATAAAACATTAAAAAAGAAAAAAAGAGTTAGGTTGATGCCTTAAAAAAATTATAGGCCATTTGGGTTACTCTAAAGTTCATTAAATATAGAATGCTTATACTTTATACAAATTGGATTTTGATAAGTAAAAATCAGATGCTAATAAAGTAGAAGCATGAGGGCCATTTCACGAAGTTTTCTTAAAAAGTTAGATCTTAAAAAATAGATAAAATTTTCTATTATTACATTCATTAAATTTGGATCTCATACTGTGTATCATTTCTTTAAGGCAGGATGTCTCCACTAATTTTTGGATTTTGTACCTATTCATATAAAATATTCATAACGATTTTAATTTCATTAGTGCCTCTTCAAGTTGTACAACATGGCAACCCTAAATATTTTATGGTGTTCCAGGTTCTGTGTAAAACCAGTGATAAAAGTCTTCTTTGGAATGAATGCATACAGGGTACCTGGCTGGCTCAGTGACTTTTGATGTCTGGTTATAAGTTTAAGCCCCACACTGAGTGTAGAGATTACTTAAAAATAAAATCTTTAAAGTAAAGTAAAAAAATAGAATGAACATAAACATCAGATACACAGACACACACTCATATACATTTCCACCTTCCTGTTACACCAAAGTTGAACCACTGATTAGTGCATTCTGTGAGAATATGTGCAGCCTGATCAGTGGCTTCCCACACAGGAATCTAATGGCTATCCATCAGTCCATTGCTGAGTTGACCGAAGGCAAGGGGTATCAGATGTACAGTTTATATTTGGCCTATAGGTAATAGTGACTGTGAAAAGAGCTTTCGCATTAGCTTCTTTGTAGTTTATACATCATCCAGCAACTTGAGATTTTAAAGTTCAGATTATGATTTCATGTGTGATGAAGTAGATTGGAGTAATTGGTCTTTAAGTTGGCTAGAGTAAAAAAAAATCTGAGAGAAAGTAGAGATTTTATAAGATGATTGAAAGTGGAAAAGAAGATCAGGAAAATTGCTGTTGTTAATAATGTTCTTCGTAACTCATATTTTTATAGTACCATCAGTAAGCTTTATAATTTTGCCTTTGTAATCATATATGATAATTCTTATATTTTGATGTATGACAGTATGTTTAATCTACTTCGACATTTTTCAGACTTGCCTGATTGTAGCAGTCACTTTGGTTGCTTATTAATCTATAGTCTTTTGGGGTCCTTTTTTTTTTCTTGAAATTATGATTCATGAGGTCTAGAATGGTTATCAAGACTGAGATTATACATTTTTATAATGTGTTTTTTTTTTTTTTCTGAGAGAGAGAGAGAGACAGCATGAGCAGGGGAGGGTCAGAGAGAGAGGGAGACACAGAATCTGAAACAGGTTCCAGGCTCTGAGCTGGCTGTCGGCACAGAGCTTGAGCCTGATGCGGGGCTCGAACCCACAAACCGTGAGATCATGACCTGAGCTGAAGTCGGACGCTTAACTGACTGAGCCATCCAGGTACCCCTGGGATTTTATGTATATATGTGTATATATATATATATATATATATATATATTTTTTTTTTTTAATGTTTTATTTATTTCTAGGAGACAGAGAGAGAGACAGCGTGAGCAGGGGAGGGTCAGAGAGAGAGGGAGTCACAGACTCTGAAACAGGCTTCGGGCTCTGAGCTGGCAGTCAGCACAGAGCCTGACGCAGGGCTTGAACCCACGAACCGCGAGATCATGACCTAAGCGAAAGTCGGATGCTTAACCGACTAAACCACCCAGGCGCCCCTGGGATTATATATTTTTAACAATTCTTTTTACCTAAACAATTTAGGGAAACACTGGTCTATTTGATTTTGTCTCTAAGAGATTAAAATACAGGGAAATTAATATTTAGCAGGAGGTCCTTATGGTCTGTGCAGGACCTGTGAGTTTTTAATAGTCCTTTAGATTTATGACATAGGAGGTTTGTAAGTTCAGGAATTTGATATTACCATGTCATATAGAGGAGATGTACATCTATGTGAAGATAAATCAAACTTAGAAGAGACTTACTTGAAAACTGGAGTTTCACCTTTTAAATTTACAGTGGGTGACATAACCAAAAACTTGTCTACCTTAGTCATTGATTCAGGATTCATGGCTCTGATGGTAAATACCCCAGTAAGGTTGTAACACTTTTTAATGTGCATAGGTTAGAACAGATGAGACTAGATATTCCAAAAGGTGTTCCCAAATAATTATTATAGATATAGTCTATCTAAGTGACTAGTATTTGTCCGTGTGATTAAAGCAACCTCTCTCTAGGGTGCTGCCAAGTTCTTCTTTAGTTCTCAATTTTCTAAGCCCAAGGTAAACAATCAAAATGACCTACGACAAGCTAAGGACTATATAAACTATTGTACAAATACCGTTTTACTTAAAGACCACAGCAACCTTTTGAGAATAGGTATAATTATTATTATTTTTTAATGTTTATTTATTTATATTAGAGAGAAAGAGACAGAATATGAATGAGGGAGGGGCAGAGAGACAGAGACAGAATCTGAAGCAGTCTCCAGGCTCTGAGTTGTGAGTGGTCAGCACAGAGCCCCATGTGGGGCTTGAACTCATGAGCAGTGACATCATGACCTAAGCCGAAGTCGGACGCTTAACCAACTGAGCCACCTGGTGCCCCAAAATATGTATTATTTTTATTTTACAAATGAAGAAACTGAGGCCCAATTTTTCACAGTTTTTTCCCCCAGACTTTTCATAGTATTAATAAGAATATAGTACTATTAGTATTATAAATAATAGTTGTGTTTCATAAAGTATCATGAATCGAGACATGGGCTGTTTGGCTCTATGCATTATTTCATGCAGCCCACATGTAACCTCAAAGTATTACCTGACTTAAAAGATAAGTTATTGGAAAATTAGGAAGCTTATTTACTTGTTCATGAGGTAGAAAATCTGAAAGCTTTAGCAGCAGGTAGAGGGGAGGGATGTGCATGATCAACAAAGATGATAGGTTCACTTTTACACATGTTGGCTTTAAAGTATGTGAAAGGCATCCAGGTGGAAATATCTGGTGGATGTAACAGTCTAAAGTTCTAGTGAGAGATCTGGATAGAGATGGATTTAGGAACAATGGTCATAGTGATGATAATTGAAGTAATGTGCCATTTGGGCAAATTTTCATCACACCTCCTGCCAAAATATATTGATAAGCTATATTCCGGACATACTGTCCTATTTATTATTCCCTCCTTTTAAAGACACGTTTATTTATTTATTTTGAGGGAGAGCATGAGCGGGGAGGGGCAGAGAGAGAGGGAGAGAGAATTCCAAGCAGGCCCTGCACTGTCAGCACAGAACTGGACATGGGGCTTGATCCCATGAACTGTGAGATTACTACCTGAGCCGAGAACAAGAGTTAGATGCTTAACCAACTGAGCCCCATCTACTCATTATTCTCATTGTGACCTCTACTTTCCTTTTTTTTACACCTTTGCTCATTCTTTTCCCTAATGTAAGATTTCCCTTTTTCCCATCTCTTCCTGAGAAAATACATTTTTCTTTCCTGGATAGATTTCTCCCTAGTTATAAGCAATTTCTTCTACCAAGTGTAGTGATGATTCTGTTTTTAAAGCATTTAATTATAGACTGTCTTAATGTTTCAGTTCTTAGGGTGTATGTGTTTTTCCTCTCCAAGAAACTTGCAAGCCCTAGAATATCACAATTATATTTTGGTTTCCTTATTTCCCAGCATTGTGCACATGGTAGAAGTTTAATAAATATTTGCTGAATTGAATCAGAAAATGTGAACTGTTTCTGACTTTATTCCTGAATTATGAGATTATATTCTGTCTGTAACCTTCTTTGTGTCAAGAATTAACTCTCAATTTATAGATTCCTAGTTATCTGGATATCTGGTAACTTGAGAGAAGGCAGCTTTGGATAATGATTACAATAACCTCATCTAAAGAATAACCTTCACTCACACCTGTCAAAATGGTTAAAATCAGAAACACAAGAAACAAATGTTGGCGAGGATGTGGAGAAAAAGGAACACTCATACACTATTGGTAGGAATGCAAACTGGTGCAGCCACTCTGGAAAATAGCATGGAAGTTCCACAAAAAATTAGAACTAGAACTACCATACGATCAGAATTCCACCATTGGGTATTTACCCAAAGAATACAAAAACACTAATTTGAAAAGATATATGCATACCTATTTTATTTCAACATTATTTATAATAGCCAAGATATGGGAGCAGCCCAAGTGTCCATCAGTGATGAATAAAGAAAAAGTGAGATATGTATATTTACAATGGAATATTATTTAGTCATAAAAAAGAATGAAATCTTACCATTTGCAGCAATATGGATGGATCTACAGAGTATAATGCTGAGCAAGATAAGTCAGAGAAAGACAAATACCGCATGTGGCATTTAAGAGACTGCATATGTAGTATTCATTCATAGGTGGAATTTAAGAAACAAAACAAATGAAAGGTTAAAAAGACAAATCAAAAAATACTCTTTTTTTAAATACTTTTTTAAAAAAGTTTATTTTGAGAGAGAGAACATGGAGGAGGCGGAGAGAGAGAGAGAAGGACGGAGAGAGAGAATCCTAATGAGGCTCCACAGTGTCAGTGTGGAGCCTGATGCAGGGCTCAAACCCATATACCATGAAGTCATGACCTGCGTGGAAACCAAGTCAGATGCTTAACCGAGTGAGCCACGCAAGTGCCCCCAGACTCTTAAGTATAGAGAACAAGCTGATGGTTACCAGAGAGAAGGTGAGTGGGAGGGGTGAAATAGGTGATAGAGATTAAAGAGTACATTTATTATGAGGAGTGAGTAGTGTACAGAATTGTCAAGTCACTCTATTGTACACCTGAAATGAATATATTACTCTATATTAACTATGTTAGATTTAAATAAAAAACTTATATAGAGTAACCTGAAATCTTAAAAGTTTTTTTATCATTTTGAAAACATTTTTATAATTTATACGCAATCAGTCTAGATTATTGCTTTTACTAAAATTTTTTAAGATAAATAATATTATGGTCAGTTTGTACACTTGTGTGACAATATTAATAGATAATTTATCAATGATTTATTTTGCTTTGTTTTTCCAGTGAATATGGATTTGCTGAAAAAGTAGTTGAGGGAATTACTGTTTCTGTAAATTCCATTGTTATCCGAATTGGAGCAAAAGCTTTCAATGCATCCTTTGAACTTTCTCAGCTACGGATCTATAGTGTAAATGCAAACTGGGAACATGGAGATTTAAGATTTACTCGCATTCAAGATCCACAGAGAGGAGAGGTAAACATTTTTTTTCATTCTTTGTTTAAAAAGTCTTTCAGTCACTGATAAATAAAAGAGGGCATTTTAAAATAATTACTTCTTGTAGTTACCTAGATTCACATACTGCATTTACTCTTGCCTTTTAACTATACTTTTCTCTGTATTTCTCCTACTTATTTAAAATGTGCATATTTTAGTGCTGTTACTATAATAAATCTTTCAAGTTATGGAGTTAACGAACCTCATTTTAACTTCTCGGGTACTCAGGATTGAATTTTAAATATACAAAACTAAAATGCTATTTAAGTTTTTCATGGCATATGATTCACATGCTCTTTGTGCTTTATATCAAAATCAGAGTAAAGTATTAACAGCTTTACAAATAGTGAATATATGTTGCTGACTAATGAAAATATGTTACTGAATTTGTTGTAACTGTACAATTTTAAAAAATAAAAGCAGGGGCACCTGGGTGGCTTAGTCGGTTAAGCGTCCGACTTTCGCTTAGGTCATGATCTCACGGTTCGTGGGTTCGAGCCCCGCGTCGGGCTCTGTGCTGACTGCCAGCTCAGAGCCTGGAGCCTGTTTCAGCCTGTGACTCCCTCTCTCTCTGACCCTCCCCTGCTTACGCTGTCTCTCTCTCTCCTAGAAATAAATAAAATATTTAAAAAAATAAATAAAAAATAAAAGCATAGTGAATATATCTAGAGTGTCATAAGAAAATTAATAAAGAGGTAAATTTTATTTACCTATTTTGTTTTTACAGACCTACATGTTTCTCATTATGTTTTGCCTGAGTAAGTAAAGCTAATCTCTGTGTTCTTCTTAGGTTTTGACATTTAAAGAAATAAATTGGCAGATGATTCGAATAGAGGCTGATGCTACTCAGAGTTCACACCTTGAAATTATGTGTGCTCCTGTTCGATTAATAACCAACCAATCAAAAATCAGAGTCACACTTAAAAGAAGAGTAAGTCAACAGGGTTACCTTTTTGGTTCATGTAATAACTAGTGGAATTGAGAGGAAATTTTAAATAATTTTAGGTGAAATATTGAAACAAAGCAAAATAGAAGGAAGTAGAGTGCCTTAAGCAGTATTTGAAAAAAATCTAGTGTAATGGTAAAATTTTTCCATCTTTTCGATTTAATACTTAGATTTTTACTTTTGATGAGTTGAATAGATTCTCAGTTGCCAAATATTATTGAACATTAACTATCTTATAATTTCATTTCTTCTGTTGAATCTTGCTGTGGGTAAACTGCATAACCTCCAAAGTCACCAAAACTACTAGCTTTAGCAGGTTATTAATGGGGCACCTGGGTGGCTCAGTCAGTTAAACGTCCGACTTCGGCTCAGGTCATGATCTCTTGGTTCATGGGTTCGAGCCCCATGTCAGGCTCTGTACTGACAGCTAGCTCAGAGCCTGGAGCCTGTTTTGGATTCTGTGTCTCCCTCTCTCTCTGACCCTCCCCTGTCTCTCTCTCTCAGAAATAAATAAAACATTAAAAAAAAAGAAGAAGGTTATTAACATATTAATGGTTAGTAGTAAGTAGGGTAAGTAGGGAAGATGGTTACTTAAAGAAAACAGAAGTTGAGAGTTCTCTATAGATTGTGATGAAATTTAATGAAGGAGTCATGATTTTTTTTAAACATGGCTCAAAGTCTCAACAAAATGTTTTGTATCATTAGATACAAATAAATATAGTAAATTAAATTGAAAAAAAAATTCAGAGTAAAGGGGCTCCTGTGTGGCTCAGGCAGTTGAGTGTCTGACTTCCACTCAGGTCATGCCTGATCTCACCGTCTGAGTTCGAGCCCCGCCTGAGTTCAAGCCCCGCATCTCTGTGCTGACAGCTCAGAGCCTGGAGTCTGCTTTGGATTCTGTGTCTCCCCCTCTCTTTGCCCCTTCCCCACTTGTACTCTGTCTCTGTCTCTCAAAAATAAACACTAAAAAGAAAATTAAAAAAAAATTTCAGAGGACAGTACTTAATACAATATTCTGAAATGTGAAATGTGGTTACAATTGCATTTCAGTATTTAATTTTAATGCTTTCTGTACTAGAATTAGCACAATTATTAGAAGTAATTATATGGTTTACTTGCTAATAATGCAAAATTAATTTATATAAGTACTTATACTTGCATAATGTGCACCTGTTAAGGTACAGGAATTTGTCAGTCTTTTTTTTTTTTTTACCACTAAAGCTCCAATACAAGGAGATATTTCTTCCTTAGTATAGGAACCCAATAAATATTTGGTCAATGAAGGAAGGATCCATATTTGATATCATTCAAACATTTTAAACATTTTTAAAACATTGTACGTAGTAAGTTTAATGTCTTGGCTTAATTTTATGAATTATTTTTTTCTTACAGTTAAAGGACTGCAATGTTATTGCAACAAAGTTAGTTTTAATATTGGATGACTTATTATGGGTTTTAACTGATTCCCAGTTGAAGGCTATGGTACAATATGCAAAATCTCTTAGTGAAGCAATAGAAAAATCAACAGAACAAAGAAAGAGTATGGCTCCTGAACCTACACAGGTAAGCTCTTGAGTTAAGAGGAAGAACACTTTACCTGTAAATGGTTTAAAAATCAAAACGGGTAGTTGTTTTCTTTATATGAAGTAGATTGTAAGACTTGAGTCCAAGAATCTTTCATTTATTTATTTATTTATTTAGAAAGAGAGGGAGGGAGGGGCAGTGAGAGAAGGAGAGAATTTGGGGCAGGCTCCATGCTGTCAGTGCAGAACCTGACATGGGGCTTGAACTCATGAACCTTGAGATCACAGCTTCAGCTGAAATCAAGAGTTCAACACTTAACTAACTGAGCTCATGAACCTTGAGATCACAGCTTCAGCTGAAATCAAGAGTTCAACGCTTAACTGACTGAGCCACCCATGTGCCTCATAGTACAAGAATCTTTTATCTAGATATCGTACTGTAATAATTTTCTACACATGGTATTTCTGTGAAAGCATATATGTGTTTCTATGTATAGGATGCTTATTTTGTTTGGAGTTCTGTATTAGACACTAGAGTTAATGATGACATAAAAGTATTTGATGTTATAAACACTTCTCTTTAGGAAGTTAAATACAACTTAATTACTAAAGTAAGGGCAAACAGGAAAAACCTGGGTATAGTCAAGGGAGAAATGTGAGAATAGGGCAGAAAGTGTGAAATCGTGGGGAATTGCTGAAATTGAACACAAAACTGTAGTGTTGTATCTATTCTTAACAAAAACAAAGGGATATTGTGAAATCCTATTTCTATGAAGCTATTTCTTTAGAAAAAGAGTAATATATCTCAGGTATATAGCTTGTTGGTGATCTGGCTTGGTACATGGAAATGGCATACACTTTAGGCTATCCTATGACTATCAAATTGGTGTTATTTACTGTCTACCTGCTATGTGAATGTAAAAATGAATATTCTGACCCTGTCCTCAAGGGACTCAGGATATAAGGTATAACAGGAAGTCAAATATAAAACAAGTCATTGCTGGGGCGTCTCGTGGCTTAGTCGGTTAAGCGTCCGACTTTTGCTTAGGTCATGATCTCGCGGTTCGTGGGTTCGAGCCCTGCGTTGGGCTCTGTGTTGACTGCCAGCTCAGAGCCTGGAGCCTGTTTCGGAGTCTGTGTCTCCCTCTCTCTCTGACCCTCCCCTGTTCATGCTGTCTCTCTCTATCCTAGAAATAAAATAAAAATATAAAAAAAAAAAGTCAATGCAGTGCAGCCTAAATGATGGAGTACAAAATTAAAAAGGGGAGTGAAGGGACCATAGAAGCATAGAGAAGTTTTAGTTAACTGCTTGCATAGCTTGGGAAGGCTTCACAAAGAGGATAATGAAATTAGTCTTAAAAATTAGAAGTTTACAACTGAGGGAAAGGATATTTCAGATGAGGGAATAGAATCTGCAAAAGTGTATTGCATGGTGTTTTCTGATAAAAATAAGGAGTTTGGTGTTTTAAGAGCAGTGTTTTTGATAGTTACTTACACAAACTTCTCTGATATACAACATCTGTCCAGGTTTTGAGGAAATTGGCTTCTACATATACCACTTTGATGTATTGTGTTCTCTTTATCTTTATCTTTAACATAAGAATGTACTTATGTTAAAATGCTGGATTCATTCTCCCTTTCCCAAACTCTTACCCTGCTTGACAAATGAAAGGCCACCTTCTTATTTTTTACTCATTCTTACTATGATGGATTGTCCAGTAAGAGGAGGGAGGAAAAACTTAAAAGGTTTGGGGTAACAAGAAAGAGGTAATTTGAATTACTGTTACTCATGTTGGAAGTGTATGACTAATGAATGACAGAGTAACAAGTCAGGTGATTTCCACTACCCTTCTTTGCTTTCAACACATTTGAAGGAGGATCTATAAATGTCAGCTATTAGATTATTAAAAATAATTCTTTAGGGGCATCTGGGTGGCTCAGTCGGTTAAGCGTCCAACCATGGCTCAGGTCATGATCTCGCAGTTCATGGGTTCGAGCCCCGAGCCCCACGTCAGTCTCTGTGCTGACAGCCAGCTCAGAGCCTGGAGACTGTTTCAGATTCTGTGTCTCCCTCTCTCTCTGACTCTCCCCTGCTCACGCCGTCTCTCTCTCTCTCAGAAATAAATAATTAAAAAAATAATTTTTTAAAGATCATTTCATGAATCCTGGCACGTACTTTGCAGTTCAAAGAATCATGGCATATTGCTAAAATAAAACTCATTTTCATTCTAATCTACCTATTTATATGAATAGTTTTCTAGAGATTTTAGTCATAAAAAGAAATAAAGAATTGATGCTGACCCTTTTATCATTCTACCAATAAATAATATTTAACCAATGAAATAGCTTCATAATTCTCTAGGAGAACCTGATTTTAAGTTTGATGAACAGAACACTGAACTGTAACACAGAATAATTTTCTTGGGCAGGTAGCCTGAGTTCAGGAAGAAGTATGTGGTGACTAGATGTAAAGGGCATTCATTATATGTTGAAGAATTTGGACTTTTTCCTGTAGGCATATGGAAGCCACTTACAGTTTTTAGGTACGAAAGGACAATCAAGTAACACTTGGTGGTATTATAGTGGATGGACTGAAGAAGAGAAAGATTACCAGTCTAAAGAAGGGGTGAACTTGAACCTCTGGTAATGGTTTGAAAGAAGAAATCTACAAACCAAATTGGGGAGAGATATCTGAATTTTTCATCAGTTGAGGATGAAGAACAAAATTGAGGATTTTCAAATGATAATTTGTAGTTCCATTAGCCAGTAAAGGGAATACAGAAGAAGGAAGCAGTTTTGATTAAGGGAGATAAGGCAAAAAAAAAAAAAAAAAGATAATAATGAGTTCCATTTTGAAAACTGAAAGAATATAAAGGAGTAGAGGAAGTAATATTTTAAGTGTTACCATCATAAGCATGAACACTAGTCTATCAAGGTTGACAGTGAAGATTTATGTAGTTTAGGATATCAGTAACAGAGCTGGTAATTGAAATGAAAGGCTAATACACAAAGTTTTGATGTTACTGTGGGTCTTTATACAATATGTGGATATATTTATATAGATTATGACAGATTAGGAAACTAGAAAAAGAACAAAGTTCTGTAATCCAGTCACCATAATAAAATCAGTGTTAGCATTTTGAGGTATTTTCTTAAATGTATTTTGCCTAAGCACCTACAGTTTTCCTAGTTTTAGTAAGTGTGTATTAAGTGGATATATACAGTTTTCTTCTGTGTTGTTAATCTTTGTAATTATTATTTTTGGTTGCTCCCTAACATTTCATGGTAAATTTACTTAACCATTCACATTACCATCAAGTTTCTTTCTTGGGTGGTAGTTGGCACATTACTACTTTAGGTATCATATAGAATGTCCTGATAATTTGAAGACCAAGAGAGTGGATTAGAGAGTAAAGTCGTTGACAGTGTTCCTTTGCTCAGCCTGAGAACTTGACAGCCATCTTGTATCATAAATATTTGATTAGCTTCATCCTTTCCTTCTCGAAAAGGGAATACACAGAAAACCAAGAAATGTTAAGATTATTCATCAGGCAAAAGAGTTTATAAAGGCCCATTCCTTCCATCCCCCCCCAAAACAACATGTAAAAACTGAATATACCATAACATTAAGAGAAAGGTTTGTACGGAGAGTAATGTGTATGTTTTATTTATATCAGTATTTATGTTGATGAACAACATAAAACATTAAAGAAATATAAGGTGATGTTTTCCTTCAAAATAGTACTGTCATAGACAAAAAATAGTAGCCTCTTAGGCTTTGAAAGTAGAAGAACATAATAAGAGATTTTTCTTATGGAAACTAGTTTGACAGTTATTTAGTAAAATAATTTTTCTTGAGCCTCCTAGAATTTAAGGCTTCACGATTATATTTCATCTTTCCTTTTCTTTCTTTATTTTATTTTATTTTATTTTTTTAATGTTTTATTTATTTCTAGGAGAGAGAGAGAGAGAGACAGCATGAGCAGGGGAGGGTCAGAGAGAGAGGGAGTCACAGACTGAAACAGGCTCCAGGCTCTGAGCTGGCAGTCAGCACAGAGCCCGACGCGGGGCTCGAACCCACGAACCGCGAGATCATGACCTAAGCGAAAGTCGGACGCTTAACCGACTAAGCCACCCAGGCGCCCCTCATCTTTCCTTTTCTTTAATTGCTGTGGGTCCCAATCATTTTCTTTGAGAGATTCTCACTTAGTATATTTTGAAATTTATTTAGAGATAGTTCTTAATAGATAATGTGTAAATATATATATACAAAATATATATACTTTAATTTTTCATACATAACTAACTATATTTTATTAGTGAATTGTTCTTAATTAGAAACTCTTTAATATTTTTTATGAAAAATTTGGTCTTCATTTTGTTAATTATTACCAAAAAGTTTCATGTACAGTTCTGCAGCTTATAGATCAGGTGATCTTACCATACACTTACATATATAGAATAATTTTAGGCTACTAGGTTCACATAAGTCTTTATGCTTTAGCAGTATTCTATACTTCTTCACTTTGGGGAGAAAAGAATTTGAATTCACAGTCTTTTATAAATCTCTTCTGCTTTCTGGCTGCTTCCAAGTTCAAAGATACATCTCTTTGGAGATGTATCAGAGCACTTACAGTATTACATGATATCACAAACACTTTTACAAAGAAGTCATCTATTTCTATAGGATATATAATAGTGAACACAACTGATGTATACAGTGCTCACATTTATTTCTTTTTTAATATGTGGAGCTAATACTATTTGAAGAAGCTGCCTTTATCAGTTAATATATTTTCTAAAATAAGGGCTATATATGTGTAGATAATAACTGTTCAAATATTTTAAACATATATTGGTTTCATATTCAAATTGTGTATAGTTTTCCAATTTTTAGATTTAATTTTATTCCCACATAATTCAGAAAATATTTTTGGGGAATTGAGTCATTGATAGAATAGAAAATATATTAGCTCATTTTTCATGACTTTATTACTAAAGATATTTAAGTTTTCTTGTTAGTGGAATTTCAAATATTTAACTTGTAGTGATAAGGCAGTTTTGAATCTTTTAGAGCTCTGCAGTAGCCCCATCTACCCAACAAGTGAAGACACCACAGACTTCAAATGCTCCTGATCTAAATGATGCAATTGTGAAACTATTCAATGACTTTGATGTTAAAGAAACCTCACATCATTTAGTGATTTCTCATCTAGATCTACACATATGTGATGATATTCATGCTAAAGAAAAAGGTAATAAAAGCTGCTTATTTCAAAATACTTTGATTATTTTTTTTAAGGATTTCCTACAAAACTGGATTGTTTATCATTTGTAATGTATAGTATGTCTCGTACAATAACTGGTCATAATTTTAGATGAAAGTTGTAATTTCAAGCAGTATATATTGGCATGAAACTTTTTTGCTTTAGTTGTTAGCATTTCAGCACAATTAATTATTAGCTATAGATGCTAACAGTAAAGTTAAGTTTAGAAAACTTAAACTGAATAGATGGAAGGACTGAATAGATGACATCCTTAAGGGATGATGAAATCTTAGACTTGCCTTTGAATTAACTTTTTAATAATTTTGAAATTATAAATTAAATTTTATTCTATACTCATTTCATAATTATTTGTACATATGTTTCCACATGGTGGTATATCTGCATTTTTTCTGACCCCATTTGCATGTAAACACAACTGTATGGCTGTTTAACATTTCTTGTGTTTCTTTTCCAGCAATGCTCCCAAAATTTGGTTAGGAAGCCAAATTCCAGTTAGTTAAGTTTTTTGTCTTTACTTTTAGCTTTTGTTTCTCTTATTTTTCTTTATTTAGTAGACACAGATAATGGAGTAATGGGAAGCTCTTCTTGGTCACTTTAAAAATCTGTGGTTCCATAATCTGGGTACTTGCATTTCTTTTCCTCTGTTGGAGAGTGTCCCCGGCCCATAAGTGTTGGAAGGATTTACGAGTGGGCCTACTTCTAGGATTGTGTTTCTCAAACTTTGGTGAGATTGAGGATCAAGCTGAGGATCTCTTTAAAACAGAGATATCTATAGCTGACCCCTGTACCTCGGACCTGAATCACAATCTACATCTGTGAAAATTGTTAACTCTGTATTTTTAAAGCTGAGAGAGTACATATTGAGACTGACTTTGGATATTTAGCAGAAGTTACTCTGTCTTCATCAGATAAGGCAGCCAGGTACCAGTGACCAGATAAAAGGGTGGAATGGAAAAGATGAGGAGGATTTGGAGTTTAGAGATGGATTTGTTGTCTTTTCTTTTGTCCACCTTTGTGTCATTTGTCTTAAAGTTGATATCTTCTGCTTTAGTTATTTGACAGGAAAATTAAAAAGTTAAAACAAACCAAAATAACAAAATAAGGGGTCAAGTTTAAGTAATAAGCAAAAGAATAGAGACAAGTGTCTTCCATGCTTTTTTTTTTTTATGTTTCTCACTCTTTATATTCCCTCATAGAATAAAATAAATTATTATTATTATTTTTTTAATGTTTTATTTATTTCTAGGAGAGAGAGAGAGAGACAGCGTGAACAGGGGAGGGTCAGAGAGAGAGGGAGTCACAGACTGAAACAGGCACCAGGCTCTGAACTGGCAGTCAGCACAGAGCCCGACGCGGGGCTCGAACCCACGAACCGTGAGATCATGACCTAAGCGAAAGTCGGACGCTTAACCGACTAAGCCACCCAGGCGCCCCAAATTATGTTTTTTAAGGGGAAAGCTCCTCCACTAAAATATTTCCCTCATGATACAGATTTGTTCTAAAATCCAGAAAGGTGTGAAATGAATTATATTCATTCATACCTAGTATCTAAATTTGTCTTTTCCATACTTCCAGTTGATTTATCCATGCTGTGTTAAAATTTGATTTTTATGTTGGAGGTACACTGAGTTGTGATCTACTTTTAATCTTAATATAACTATGTGACTTTGGCCAACTGCCTAATCCAGTAGGCTCCCCTTCAGTAAGAGACAGGATGATATAGGATAGTGGTTAACATTTCCTGGGTTTAAAATTAGCTCTATGTTTTATTGGCTAGTAAGACCTTGATCTATTTAATTAACCTGTTTGTGTCTCAATTTTCTTGTCTGGAAAATGGAAATAATAATAGTATTTATCTCAGTTTTGTGAGGAAGAGCAAATCAATAAGTATACCTAAAGCAATTAAAACAATGTTTGGCATATGGTTAGGGCTATAAATATAAAAGTTCTGTTTTTTTTGTACCCTCGTCTTTTAGCTTGGTACAATGCAAATGATAGGGGCTCAGTAATACTAATTAGATTGCGTTGCATTTTCTGAATTCTTTAATGTATTGTTTATGACAACAGAGAGACAGTTAATCACTGCTTGGACTGCAAGTACGATAAATGAAGTGGTTCTGATATTTGCTAATGTTTCTTTCTCTTTCTTTCAATGCCAAATTTTTTATTTTCCCAGAGTCAAACAGACGTATTACTGGAGGGGCTATGCAGCTGTCTTTTACACAGCTAACTATAGATTATTATCCTTATCACAAAGCAGGTATGTATAACAATTTCTTGTAAAGAAGTAAATCTTGCCTTAAAGTTATATAGCCAATTTACCTCATTTCTTTTTGTATTTATTATTTTTAATTTAATACATTTTATTTCTTATTTATTTTATTATTTTGTTTTAATTTAATTTGTGTTTATGTTTATTAATAGGTAACATACAGTGTTATATTAATTACAGGTGTACAACATAGTGATTCAACAGTTACGTATATTACTCGGTACTTATCATGACAAGTGCACTCCTTAATCCCCATCACTTATTTCATGCAACCACCATCCACCCCCTCTCCCATCAGTTTGTTCTCTACAATTAAGAGTCTGTTTCTTAATATATCTTTTTTTCCCTTTTGCTGCTTGTTTTCCTTCTTAAATTTCACATGAGTGAAATCACATGGTATTTGTCTTTGTCTTATTTTGGTTAGCATTATACTTTCCGGCTCCATCCAATCCTTGCAAATGACAATGTTTCTTTCTTTTTTATGGCTGATAATATTCCATTATAGATCTATACCACATCTTCCTTTATTCATTCATCAATTGATGGATACTTAGCTATCAGCACATCTTGGCTCTATCCTTTTATTTTGCAAGTCTCACTATGGTATGTCATGGTGTTGATCTGTTTTTGTTGGTTTTGAAGGGAGTTCCATGTGCCTCTTGAACTTGGATGGCTGTTTCTTTCCCCAGATTAGGGAACTTCTCAGCTGTAATTTGTTCATAAAACCTTCTCTCCCTTTTTCTTGCTTTTCTTCTGGCACTCCCATGATACAGATTTTGTTTTGTTTCATGGAGACACTTAGTTTTCTAAATCTCCCCTTGTGATGTAGTAATTTCCCTCTTTTTTCAGCTTCATTGTTTTCCTAATTTTATCTTCTATTTCGCCTATTCTCTGCTTTTTCAGTGTTCACTGTCACTGTGTCTAGTTTATTTTGCATCTCAGTTACAGTATTTCTTTTTTTTTTTATGTTTTATTTATTTCTGAGAGAGAGAGAGAGAAAGAAACAGCATGAACAGGGGAGGGTCAGAGAGAGAGGGAAACACAGAATCTGAAACAGGTTCCAGACTCTGAGCCAGCTGTCAGCACAGAGCCCAACGTGGGGCTCAAACCCACAAACTGTGAGATCATGACCTGAGCTGAAGTTGGACACTTAACCGACTGAGCCACCCAGGCGCCCCAGTTAAGAATTATTTCTTAATTCACTGTGACTAGTTCTTAGGTCTTTGATCTCTGCAGCAGGGGTTTCTCTGGTGTCTTCTATGCTTTTTTAAAGCCTAGCTAGTTGTCTTATGACTGTTGTTCTAAATTCTTGTTCAGATGTATTGTTTGTATCTGTGTTAAAAATCCCTGGTTATGATTTCTTCTTGAACTTTCTTTCAGGGAGAATTGCTCCATCTTGTCACTTTGACTAAGGTTCTGTCTTTGCATGCTTTAAAAGCTTGTTATGATTCCTGCAACTGAGATTACTCGTATATTAAAAAGGGGTCATACACTGTCCGGGACCTGGTACTCCAGATTGTGTTTCGGGTATAGGCTATATGTACTTTGCTGTTGTGTTTTGATAGCACTTTCTCACTGGTCATTTCTCTGCAGAGCTCCTTGCTTGCAGTGATGCAGTGTTTAGACCTTTAACTAGGTGTGTTTTGATTTGTTTGTTGAAGTAACCTGGGAAAAAAAGAGGTTGGGCGAAGCCTGATTCCATAAAATGAGAAAAGGAAAGGGAACAGAAAAAACCAAGCAGAGAATCAAAAAACTGTAAAGCTGATTCTAACGAAAAAGAAAGGAAGGAAAAAAAGAAAGTAGAAGAAAAGAGAAAAGAAAGGAAAAGAATAAAAAAAGCTTGATAAACAAAGATAAAAGAAAATGACAAAAAAAACAAATCAGAAACTATTATCCTGATTCCAAAAGAAAAAAGAGTTGTCTGTTGGTGCCTGGGGGATGGTGGCTCTGCTGGTCTGGAGGAGAGGCTACGTCTAGCTGCCCTGGCTCAGAGTCCATCCTGCCCCAGGAGATAAGCAGTTGGCAGGCACAGGGTGGGAGGGTGTTCCTGTAAGCGGGTGCTCACCTCTCCCCTTCAGTGTTGCTCTCTGAATTCCTACCGTGTTGTTGTTGGGGCGAGAATGGCACTGCCCAGTCTCTCGTCCCTGGTCTGGGGATCCCAACCCCTGCTATTCAGGCAGCCCTTACAAAGTAGAGTTAGCCCTGTGTCAAAACTCGCTTGTGTCTTTTTTTTGGTGCACAGCTGGGATTCAAAACCGGAGGTTTTTTATTCTGCTGCATATATCGGTGTATCCATTTTTGTGCTGGTACCATACGGTTTTGATTACTACAGCTTTGTAGTATAACTTGGAGGTCTCGAGTTGTGATCCCTCTAGCTTTGCTTTTCTTTTACAAGATTGCTTTGGCTCTTCGAGGTCTTTTGTGGTCCCATACAGATTTTAGGATTGTTTGTTCTAGTTCTGGGAAAAATACTGTTGGTATTTTTGATAGGAATTTTATTAAATGTGTAGATTGCTTTGGGTATTATAGACATTTTAACAATACTTGTTCTTCTAATCCATGAGCATGAAATGTATTTCCATTTCTTTGTGTCATCTTCCATTTCTTTCATCATTGTTGTATAGTTTTCAGAGTACAGGTCCTTCACTTCTTTGGTTAAGTTTATTCCTAGGTATCTTACGGTTTTTAGTGCAATTGTAAATAGAATTAATTCTTTGACTTCTTTTCCTGCTATACATTATTGGTGTATAGAAATACAACAGATTTCTATACATTGATTTTTTTTTTAATCCTCCAACTGTATTGAATTTGTTGATCAGTTATAGCAGATTTTGCTGGAGTCCTTTGGGTTTTCTATATATGTTATCATGTCATCTGCAGATAGTGGAAGTTTTATATCTTTCTTACTGATTTGGATGCTCTTTATTTCTTTTTATTGTCTGATGCATGGCTAAGACACTCAGTACTGCATTGAGTAAACATGGTGAGAGTTGACATCCTTGTTTTGTTCCTGACCTTAGGGGAAAATCTCTCAGTTTTTCCCCTTTAAAAATGTTGTTTGCTGTGGGTGTTTCATATATGGCCTTCATTATGTTGAGGTATGTTCCCTCCACTACTTTGATGAGGGCTTTTTTTTTTATAATGAATGGATGTTGTACTGTGTCAAATGGTTTTTCTGAATCTATTGAAATGATCATACGGTTTTTATCTTTTATTGATATGATGTTTCACGTTGATTGATTTGCAAATATTGAACCACCCTTGCAACCCAGGAGTAAATCTCTACTTTATTGTGGTGAATGATTTTTCTAATGCATTGTTGAATTTAGTTTGCTAGACCATAAGAGACTCTCAAACACAGAAAGCAAACTGAGGGTTGATGGAGGTTGGGAGAGAGGGGAATGTGTGTCGTGGGCATTGAGGGCACTCTTTCGGATGAGCACTGGGTGTTTTATGGAAGCCAATTTAACAATAAATCATATTAAACTAAAGAATTCAGTTTGCTAGTATATTGTTGAAGATTTTTACATCTGTGTTCATCAGGGATATTGGCTTATACTTCTCTTTTTCAGTGGTATCTTTATTTGGTTTTGGTATCAAGGTAATGATGGCTTTGTAATATGAATTTGGAACTTTCCTTTCTTTCCTACTTTTTGGAATAGTCTAAGAAGAATAGGTATTAACTCTTTAAATGTTTGTTAGAATTTACCTGTGAAGCCATCTTGTCCTGGACTTTTGTTTGTTGGGAGTTTTTTGATTACTGATTCAATTTCATTGCTGCTTATTGATCTTTCAAATTTTCTTTTTCTTCCTGTTTAAGTTTTAATAGTTTATATATTTCTAGGAATTTATCCATTTCTTTTAGGTTGTCCACAATTTGTTGGCATATAGTGTTTCATAATGTTCTCTAGTAATTTCTGTGGTCTTGGTTATTTCTACTCTCTCATTTGTGATTTTATTTATTTGAGGCTTGTTTGTCTTTTTTCTTGATAAGTCTGGCTAGAGATCTGTCAATTCTATTGATTTATTTCAAAGAAGTAGCTCCTGGTTTCATTGATCTGTTCTATTGTGGTTTTGTTTGTTTTTCTATATCACTTATTTCTGCTCTAATCTTTATATGTCCTTCTTTCTACTGGTTGGGGTTTTGTTCTTTCTTCTTTTTCCAAGATCTTTTAGATGTAAGGTTAGATTGCCTATTTGAGATTTTTCTTACTTCTTGAGACAGATTTTGCGATAAACCTTTCCTTTGCAACTACTTTTGCTGCATCCCAAAAGTTTTGGGCTATTGTATTTTCATTTTCATTTGCTTCCATGTACTTGTTTATTTCTTCTTTCATTTTCTGGTTGACCCATTCATTGTTCAGTAGCATGCTATTTAACTTCCATGTATTTGTGCTCTTTCCAGATTTTTTCTTGTGGTTGACCTCTAGTTTCATAGCATTGTGGTCAGAAAAGATTCCTGGTATGACTTCATTCTTTTTGAATTCATTGAGATCTAATTTTGTACAGTATTCCATGTGCGCTTGAAAAGTATGTGTATTCTGTTGTTTTAGGATGGAATTTTCTGAATATATCTATTAAATTCATCTGTTCCAGTTTGTCATTCAAAGCCATTATTTTCTCATTGATTTTCTATTTACTTGGTCTGTCCATTGATGTTTAAGTCCCCTAATGATATTGTATTAATATTGATTAGTTCCTTTATTTTTTGTTATTAACTGTTTTTTGTATTTGGGTGCTACTGTGTGGGAACATAAATATTTATAATTGTTATATCTAATTGTTGAATTGTTCCCTTTTTGATTATATAGTGTCCTTCTTTGTCTCTTTGTAAAGTCTTTGTTTTTTTAAAAAATTTTTGAAAATGTTTTATTTATTTCTGAGAGAGAGAGAGACAGCATGAGCAGTGGAGGGTCAGAGAGAGAGGGAGACACATAATCTGAAACAGACTCCAGGCTTTGAGCTAGCTGTCAGCACAGAGCCCGACACAGGGCTTGAACCCACAAACCATGAGATCATGACCTGAGCCGAAGTCGGATGCTTAACTGACTAAGCCATCCAGGCGCTCCTTAAAGTCTTTGTTTTAAAGCCTGTTTTGTGTGATATAAGTATTACTCCTCTGGCTTTTTTTGATATCCATTTGCATGGTAGGTGTTTTTCCACCCCTTCATTTAGAATTTGCTGGTGTCGTTCGGTGTAAGATGAGTCTCTTGTTGGCAGCATGTAGATGTATCTTGTTCTTTTTATGCATTCTGTCACACTGTGTCTTTTGATGGAAGTGCTTAGTGCATTTACATTCAAAGTAATTATTTATAGATATGTATTCATTGTCATTTTATAATTTGTTTTGTGGTTATTTCTGATGATTTTCTCCTATCTTCTTTTGTCTCTCTTTCATGGTTTCCTGATTTTCTTTAGTGATATGTTTGGATTTCTTTCTTTTTTCTTTGCATATTTATTATTGGTTTATGATTTGGTTACCATTAGCTTTGTATATAACCTCTTTTGCAGATAGCTGTCTATATTAACTTGGTCATTTAGATTTGATCCCATTCCTACTCCTTTACTCTCCACACTTTATATATATGTTTTTATATTTTCTAGTCTTTTATTTTGTGAGTTCCATGACTGATTTTTTACAGAAACATTCATTTTTGCTGTCTTTGTGTTTTCTACCTTCATACTGTCACTTTGGTTTCTCTTTTCCATTTAATGTGTCTCCTTTAATATTTCTTGCTGGGCTGGTTTAGTGGTCATGAACTTCTTTAGTTTTGAGTATTCTCAACTGCAGATTTTTCCAATTCAGAACTTTGAATAATACCACTAACATCTTGCTTGAAAAGTTTATTCTGAAAAATCTCCTGGTACCCATCTGGGTATTCCCTTGTAAGTTACTGTTTTCTTTTGTCTTGCTGCTTTAAAATTTTTTTCTTTATCACTATTATTTTTGTCAGTTTAATTAAATTTGTCTTGGTGTGGATCTGCTTTTGTTGAGTTTGATGGGAGTTCTCTTTGCCTTCTGGACCTGGATATGTTTTCTTTCTGAGATTAGGGAAATTTTTAGCTTTTATTTCTTCAAATAAATTTTCTGCCCTATTCTCTCCTATAATATTATATTTGATCGAGTCACTGAGTTTCCTAAGTCTGTTCTCATTTTGCATATTTTTTTCTCTTTTGTTATGCTTGATTCCTTTCCATTAATTTGTCTTCTCGGTCACTAATTTTTTTTCCCATTTCTTCCTTCCTGCTGCTTATTCTATCAAATGTATTTCACATTTTGTTTATAGAGCCCTTTATCTCTGCTATGTCATTCCATATCTCTTTGTTAAGGGTCTCACTAATGGTCTCCTCTTTTCTCAAGTCCAGTGAATATCTTTATAATCGTTACTTTAAATTCTCAATCTGGCTTGCTACTTGTATCTGTTTCTTTTAGATCTCTGGCCGTGTCCTGTCCTGTTCTCATTTGGGATAGATTTTTCTGTCTTTTCATTTTGTCTAAGTCTCTGTGCCTCTTTCTCTGTGTTAGGAAAGTCAGCTACATCTCCTATTACTGAGGGTAATGGCCTTATGGAGAAGAGGTCATGGGGTGCACTGCTTTGTCGTGTCCCCTGTTCCCCAGGTCCTACTGCTTCTGGGAGTGTCTCCAATATGTGCTGCGTGTGTTTTGCTGTTGTTTCCTAGCCACTTTATCCATCAGGCCAGTTGTCTACAGAGGTTCTCTTTGCCTCTCGTTGGCAGTGATTAGTCCCTGGCCTGAATATGGCACATTTTAACTAAGTGTGTTCTGGTCTGCTTGTGAAATGAGGCCTGTTGGCATTGCAGCTGGCACCGAGGCTCTGCAAAATTCCCATGTAGGGAGACAGTGTGAACAGGGCTTTGGGTTGATCTTTTGGGGAAGAGGATTTGCTGTGCTAGGGCTGAGACAAGTCCCACTGGGAGAGGCAGTTCCACTGGAGTGCATGGGATGTAGCTTGGTGCAAGTGAGTTAGGTCATGAATGTCTGCACTAAGCTGATTCCCTAAGGATAAGAAGGATTTCAGCCATGTAGTAGGATTCGAGGCACTTTTTATTTACTTAATTAATTAATTAATTTTTTAATGTTCTTAGTTTATTTTTAGGAGAGGGAGAGAGACAGCGTGAGCAGGGAGGATCAGAGAGAGAGAGAGTCACAGACTGAAACAGGCTCCAGCCTCTGAGCTGGCAGTCAGCACAGAGCCCGACGCGGGGCCCGAACCCATGAACCGCGAGATCATGACCTAAGGGAAAGTCGGATGCTTAACTGACTAAGCCACCCAGGCGCCCCCGAGGCACTTTTTAAAAAACTTTTCTGTCTTTTCTAAATTTCATTAATAGACTTTTTACATGTGATCTTAGCCAAAAGGCCGAGAAGTGATACATTAATAGACTTTTTAATAATTAAATATTGATAGATTTTTCCTCCCAAATAATAAAAAAAAAACAAAAAGCTTGTAAGGTTATGTCCAAATTAAGTAATTTGACCTTACGCTCATCTCTGCATTTTGGTGATGTGTGACTTTTTTTTTAATTCACAAAAATAAGAAAAACAAGGTTTAATGATTTTTCCAAGACATTAAGGAAGTTACAAAATTTTTCTCTTCACAAATTTACACCTCCTTCTGTTTGTTATTTCTGTATGTGTGCCTGATAGAATATAAAGGTTATATACTATTTGTTTGGTTTTTGTTTGAAGGTTTTGTTGTATATTCTGTTTTCCTGATTTGTAAGTTACTTATATATATGTAAAGTATTTTTAACTACAGAAATGATTCATATTATGGAAGGTGAAACTCAGTCATAAAGTAGATTTTATTTATTTTTTTAAGTTATTTATTTATTTTAAGAGAGTGTCCATGAATGCGTGCAAGCAGGAGAGGGCAGAGAGAGAGGGAGGGGTAAAGAGAATTTCAAGATGAAGATCATGACCTGAGTCAAAATTAAGAGTCAGACATTTAACTGACTAAGCTACTCAGGCGCCACCCAAAGATAGCGTCTCTGGGTGGACACAATATTTTCTGAACACTTTTACGTACATATTACTTTTCTCAGTTTTTGCTCCACAGAAACCTAATAATCCTAATTTTTTATTTTACTTCCCAAGATTTTTATATAGGTGTAGATATATCTTTATGCCTGATGTCCATCTTGAGAAATTTTATTGGTTTCTTAAGTGTTTTAATAATCCTCATCATTTTAAGGATAGGTTTTGTCACTTTACAACAAATCTTTGATGAGAGGCCTTTTTTCCTGGTAGTATTTTCTGTGTTTCTAATGAAGGTATGTTAGATACTTGAGCATTCACTGAAGGTTGACCAGCAGTACTATTTGTAATTGAAACTTTGAGTGATGTTCTACTAATGGTTGATTTTTGACAGAAACCTTTTAGATAATGTCCTTTTGACAATTTTGCATGCGCTTTATATGTTTTGCTCATATTTTCTAGGAAGATTAAAATCTCTTTTAGGTGAACCCTGCTCCCTTGAGAAAAAATCCTTTAGAAAATAAAATCTAATTAGAATCATTGCTATAATAAAATAAATGAAAATTGTGCATTTTTCAGTGAAATACTTGTCATTCATTTTATAGGAGATAGTTGTAATCATTGGATGTATTTTAGTGATGCAACCAAAACAAAAAATGGATGGGCCAACGAGTTGTTACATGAATTTGAGTGCAACGTTGAAATGCTTAAGCAGGCTGTAAAGGATCATAATGTAGGTTCACCTCCTAAATCCCCAACACATGCCTCTCCCCAGCACACACAAACAGGTATTTTACCTATAACAACATTATGGCATTCCCCTGATTGTGTGTGTGTGTGTGTGTGTGTGTGTCTGTCGGTCTGTGTGTCTGTGTGTCTGTGTGATCATGATAGGATATCTTCTGTAAATAAGTATTAACTTTAAATAATGTCTAAAAATTCTACACCTTATTTAGACCTTAGGCTTATGGACCAAAGCACCTTTTAAATTAACATGAGCAATAATAATAATACCCATGTACAATGTTTGAGATTGTTAAATAGCTGATAGGTCTCTCTTTTTAAACAGAATTTCTTGTAAAAGTTATTGTATAAGAATACCTTAAATGTGATGTGAGTATAATTCGTGTTTAAGAATAATTACACAAAAGAAGAATAATCATTATAATAACTTAAATTCCTGCATCAGTTTATATATAAAGTATTTTCACATATATTATTTTATTCGACAAATTAGAGTTCATGTATATTTCTAGTAGCTGTCTTCATAGCAAAAAAGTGATTATTAAAAATAATTTGCCATAGATTGAAAGTTTTTTTATTTCCTACAGAGAAAGACTCAGCTCTAAAAGGGACTTCCAGAGCACCTTCAGTATTATCTCAGCAGTCCAAAGCTAAGTTAATGTCTAGTTCTGTTGTGGTTAGACTTGCAGATTTCAATATATACCAGGTATGCTTCATTTTTAATTAAATCGTCTGATAAAACATCTTCTGCAAACAACTTGTATTTTATTTTAAATATTTATTAATTTATTTTGAGAGAGAGAGAATCCCAGGTAGGCTCCGCGCTGTCAGCACAGAGTGTGTGTGGCTTGATCACACAACCATGAGATCATGATCTGAGCCAGACTCTTAAATGACTGAGCCGCCCAGATACCCCACAAGCACTCTTGTAAACTAATACCACTATTTTATTTAAAAACATCGTGGCCAGTTTTGTGAAATGGCTAAATTAGACAGGATAGAAAATATCTGTTCATTAATTTTTGTTTACATGGTTATGCAGAATTAACCAAACTGTGAGGTTAAGAGCATAGTCCTCCAGACTGCCAAATCTTCACGACTTCTGACAGCAACTGCAAGTTCAGGAGACTCCCCTAAGCCACCTGCAGATTCAAGAATTCATTGGATTAAATCATAGAACTCATTGAAATAAGTTACGCTAAGAAGCACATTTATACTAAGAATTACATTTATTACAGGGGAAGGATATAAATTGGGTTCAGCCATAGGAAGAGAACCTGGATTGGGCTAGGAGGGTTCCAAATGTGGAACTTCCTTGTCCTCAGGACACAGGGAACAATATACATGAAGTATACATAACAATATACATGAAGTATTACCCTCATAGATGAACTCAGTCATTAATAGATACCAGGTGACCCAAAGCCTCCATTCTCTGAAAACTACTAAGACTATCAAATACAGCCAGCCCCACACTTAGTCATCATTGTACACATAGACTATCAGGTGTCCCAGGGATCTACCATGAATAGGGAATTCTAAAAATTTAGAAACACATCCCAGAAGCAGGAACAAAGGCCAGACCTCTCTTAGGAGGCCAAATTCCTTATTACACAGCGCTCTTAGTGGAAGAAACTAAAATATTTTTTTTGCCTTATTGAACTACTGAGTATTGGCTATCTTTTGAATGTAATTTCATGGCTAGGAATTCTGTCCATTTATATTGTTCAGGCTGTAATCATACAATATGGTCTAATATTTCAGTCCTCGAGACTAACATAATAGAATAGAACATTCTTTAAAAATAAACAATTTCAGATACATGTTATCATTTATGAATTGTTCTGGTTCATTTTGATAAGTCTGTGGCCTTGAGACTTAGTTTTATCTGAAACTTTTTCTTTTACTCAGTAGTTTTCAACTGGGATTGATTTTATAACCCAGGGGACGTTTGCCAATGTCTGAGGACTTCTTTGATTGTCACAACTGGAGGAGGTTGTTGCTGACAAATAGTGGGTAGAGACCAGTGATGCTGCTAAACATCTGACAATGCACTGGACGTGGTTAGCAGTGCCGCAACCAAGAATTATCTTGGCCCCAAATGTCAGTAGTGCCAATTTTAAGAAACCTCAATTACACATTATTTTCTTATTGTACAGTGGCTTCTTGTTTTACATTCCATATATATTCTGTATTTTATATGAAGCTAGAAGATGTAAATAAATTCATATAGAAATAGGAGAGAGGAATCACCTATAATCCCAAGTAGCTGAGGGTGAAATACAGTAAAGAAATCCTACATGCACAAATACACCAGAGCAAAACAAAAATAACTGAAAGAAAATAGTATGTTTATGTCAATTTGCATAACTTTTTAACTATTGAAGGAAAAAGGAAGTAAGCTACTGTCTATTAAAGTAAATTGATACTTTGAGTTAAGGATTTGCTTCCATGTATGCAGAGAAAAGCTTCTTAATTGGATAATGCAAAGAACTGACTTAAATTTATAAAGACATACAAGGATTCAAAAGGCTTTATTAGCAATTTATACAAGAGGAAACCTAAACTGAAAAAAAATAGCCTACTTCATATGAAAAATATACATGTTTGTTGAATGAATGAAAAAAAATAACCTTGAGATACATCCCTGGATATATACTAAACAAGTACAAATAAATGAAATTGATAAAACTATTGGTTGAGCTTTGGTGGGAATTAGTATATACATTTTTTATGTAAATTCACTATTTTGCGGGGAGATTGAAAAAGTGTAGCAAGAACCTTAAAACTCATAGTCTTTTTAGACAATAATAAAGTGATCAAACTATTTGACAGAAGAATTTGTAGTTATATTATTTTTAAGTTAATTTTTAATGTAAAATATGCATAACATGAAATTTGCCATTTCAACCATTTTTTAAAATCGAGGTATAAGTGACACGTAACATTACTATTAGTTTCAATTGTACAGCACAATGACTTGATCACATGTTAGCTATTTTTAATTGTGCATTCATTTGCATTACTTATGCACATACTTGTACAACCATCACCATTTTCTATTTCTATAATTTTTTTATTATCCCAGACTGAAACTCTGCATATAGCTAAATTACTTTTCATCATAATAAATTGTGGTAACGAATTACTCTAAAGTACCTACCAGGGAAGCAGTCTGTTCTTGGGGACTTAGATCTGTGTCCTGACTTTCCCATTTATTTACTTCTGTTACAGAAATACTCTGATATTTTAAGGCTTCACATGATAAGTTTGTAAGGGCCTTAATAAAGAGTTGATTTTGTAACTGAGAAGACTTCAAAGAGGTTATAGGTTTTCTGAATAGTTGATTGGTATTAAAAATAATAAAATGTGAATTATTAAAAATAATCTAATGTGAAGTTAAATACATAATAAAGTTTACATTGGAAATTAACCATTAATAAATTATGAAGTAGTTTTAGGAGTTTGAAGTGATGCCCATGTGTCATAAATTATTTGGGAAGAGATTTATTCAGTGTTACTTCAGTATACTTAATTATTTTTTCAGGTCTCTACAGCAGAACAGTGTCGTTCTTCTCCCAAAAGTATGATTTCTTGCAATAAGAAATCCCTGTATCTTCCTCAAGAAATGTCAGCTGTCTATATAGAATTCACAGAATATTACTATCCAGATGGAAAGGATTTTCCAAGTAAGAAAGTTTTCTGTTTTGTTATTATTTATCCATTACTTGGAAGTTAGTTTTTTTTTCTTGCTAAGTTTTTGACTTTTATAAATGTGAAAAAAGAAACAAAGTCCCATTGTTCTTTACACTTGTTATCATTGTATTTAGTATACAACTCTGTATAGCATTTTTTACATATTCTTATTACTTGTTCATATTTTTTTTCCCTCTCACTAGCTTGTAGCATCCTTAATGCTGAGAATCATATAGTAGTCATGCTTCATTTTATCCCTGAGGCTTGACTTGTTACTTTATTTAGTAGCTGTGTGGTAAATGATAGAATATATGAAAGTTCGTTTATTTGTAGAATAAGGTCATTTTTTCCATTTTAAAAACCTGTTAATAGTTCAGCTATATATAAAACTCTATATTTCTTTGAAAACTTAATAATGGAGTTATTCTTCTAGCTATCGAGAATGTTTTTTGGCTGTTTTTTATGAGCAAATGTGTATTTTGGACAAGTTTTGGCACTTTAGTTAGAAACATTGAATTACATGAATTTTGATTTGCCAGCTATTTTGGAGTCCTAAAGTGAAAATGATTATACATTTGTGTTCTTTGAATGCTAAATTTCTTTGCTATTGTCTGAGTTCATCTCACAGTTCTTCAAACTAAAAGTTGCCTTTGTTTATGTGGTACCTTTTTCTTTAACTGTTGAATCATTTAATCCTTGTTTGTGCCTAAGTTTTGGGATCTAATTCTCACCATGTTCATGCTTTTCAGCAGTTTTTGTGTATTTCTCATCTGTTTATCCTTTCTACCTTCCCGACTAAAACAGTGAGAAGATTAAAAAAGGTGAAGACATTTGCTTAGCACTTTAGTAAGATATCATGTGTCTTCCCCCCAGGCTGCAGCTGTATTACACTGTCTTTCCACCATATTCACAACCATTTGTCTGTAATTAGAGAATCCCATTGTTTCCAGCCCTCCTTGCCCCTCACAAGTAATTGTTTTCCTTAAGTAATATATCACTGAACTAGTAATTCTTCTTCAGAGTGAAGACTAGTTTCCAAGATATTTGATTTCTAATCTAGATTTGTTTATTTATTTCTATCAGTTTTATTAACATGTGCCAAAGGAATTATAATCTTATTCTATAATATATATTTTTTCTGATTAAAAATATTAAGTTCCTCTTAGCAATTTAAAGCCTAGCCCCCTAAATACTTAGGAATGGAATTGCTAGGTTATGTTTAACTGTGTTTAATTTAACTTTTCATTATGAAAATTTTCAAACATACACAAAGGTACAGGGATCCATTTTCAGTCCTTACATTTCATCTCTTTGTTAAGCAACCCAATTTTACAAAAATATAACTTTTAAAATAATTCTAAGTGTAATATATGCTATGTTCTTTAAGAAAAGAATATGCCCAAAATAAACTACCCTCAAGTCTACAATTTAGAGACAACTTCTGCTGAAACATAAATGTATGAATTTGCTAGGGCTGCCATAACAAAGTACCACCAACTGGGTGAGTTACACAAAAGAAATTTATTTATTCATAATTCTGGAGGCTAGAAGTTCTAGATCAAGTGTCAGCAGAGTTGTTTCTTCAAAGAATTCTTACTGGCTTATAGATGGCTATCTTTTCACATGGTGTTTGCTCTGTGTGTGTTTCCTAATGATGCACATTATATTCGACTAGGGCCCACCCATATGAATTCTTTTATTTACCATAATTGCCTCTTTAAAAGCTCTGTCTTCAAATACGGTCATATTCTGAGGTACCCTGGGTTAGCATATCAATTTTGAGGGGACACAGTTTAGACCATAACAATAAGTATAGTGTTGCGAGTCCTGTTTTTAATTTATGTGTTTCTTTTGCATATTTGATTTACATCCTGTACCCTTTTTTTTTCAGTCCTTTTTTTTAAGTTTATTTGAGAGAAAGCAAGTGTGAGTGAGCAAGTAGGTGGGGGAGGGGCAGAGAAAGAGGCAGAGAGAGAATCTAAAGCAGCCTCTGTGCTGTCAGCAGGAGCCGAGCACAGGGCTCGATCCCATGTACTGGTAGATCATGACCTAAGCCAAGATCAAGAGTTTGGACACTTAATCAGCTGAGCCACCTAGGCGCCCCTACATCCTTTCCCTTTGGTGATATGTGCATATTCCAGGTTTTTACAGGTTTATTTAAATATTTTAATAACTATATAATAATCTATTTCATAACTAGACCCCTGTTGAGAACTATGTATAGATTTTTCTACTGCTTAGTGTACCAGTTTCTTCCTCTGTCCCAGATCTCCACAGTGCAGATTCTTCTTTCCTTCTGTGTGATAGCCTTGGGGACTACATTTACTCTCTAGTTCTCTCTGTAGCTGTCATCATTACTCAGTGTGTACTTGAGAGGCTTTCTCTTTCCTTCCTTCCAGAGTATGATGTGATCTCTTCAGCATTCTACTTCCTTTCAGTTTCCAAATACAAGTCCTGCCACATCCCAGCTGGATATCTCTGTTTGACTTGAATTACATTTTTCTACCTTTGTTTCTGTCTTGAGTAAAAATCTACAGACATTTTATTATTTTTGTGCTTAACAACATAACACAAAATATTGTTGGCATGCAAACCCAAAATATTGTTGGCATGCAGTGAATCTTTGCTGAAAGAAAATGAATGAATGAATGAATGAATGAGTGCAAAAAAAAACACCCCATCCTATTCAGGACATTGTTGTAATCCTTCTCTTTACTGATATCCTATACCTTGTATTTATTTTCCTTAAATTATTGTTCTAGATATACATGGTATTTGCTTTACTAGAAGTAAATAGGTCTGAAAGTTTGGAATAGAAGATTTTTATCAAGATGCTCTGAAAACAATAATGGCTTTTATAGTATAAACAAAAGGATTTCAGAAAGTGATGTATACTCTAATTATGAATATTCGTTTAACGTAAGTTAGCGCTAAAACACTTATCCAACCCCTAAGCATTCCAATATTTGAGGGGAGCTATGAAAAAGAGTATATTCCTTTTATTATTTAGTAGATACTTGAGTTTTTGCACTAAACACTATTCTAAGGCTAGGATTAGGTGGAGAATAAAACTGCATGGCCCCTCCTCTCAAGGAGACCTGCCTTATTCACTACTTTCAAAGGAAATTACTCATTAGATTCGATTATCTTATTTTAGAGGATTCAGGTTGACATTCAGGTAGTAAAAGTCCTTGTAGATACTAGGAAAAGACATCTAAACAGTATTTCGTATTTATAGTTTTAGAATAAACAATATATTTTTCAGTTAGTGAAGCATAGAAAAATGCTTGTCTAAATATATTTGCTACCATCTGCATGTGTCACTTTAATTTTGTTCCTAAAATTTTAAAAACTTATTAATTTAAAAAGAATAAAAGTTGTTAAAAATGATTTTTTCCTCAGGAAGGATTTAGACTATCTGTTCATTAAAAATCTTTAACAATTTTTTTCTCTACAGTTCCATCGCCCAACCTTTATAGCCAACTGAATGCACTACAATTTACTGTGGATGAAAGAAGTATTCTATGGTTAAATCAATTTCTCTTGGATTTAAAACAGAGTCTTAATCAATTTATGGCTGTATACAAGTTGAATGACAATTCAAAATCTGATGAGCATGTTGATATTCGAGTTGATGGCTTAATGCTAAAGGTACCATATAAACAAGTGGCTGTGATAATAAAACCATTTTTAGAGAAGAAAAGTTAACAGCATTGTAATTTCTAGGATTTAAGATGGGTGCTCAAATATAAATCAACTTTGTTGTAATCTTAATTTTGATGATGAAATTTTAATTTTAATTTTCAGTTTAAGAAGCTTTAATAAGACTGTTTTTTCCCCCTTTCTCTGTCTTCCATTTAACTTGTTTTATTTTGTCACTGCTCATCCATTTGGAGGTAAGCAGAAATAACATTTAAATCAGTCATTTCCCCCTCTACTTCCTACCAGAGCTGATAAAATTTTTCTTTCATTAAAAAAAATTTTTTTAGGGGCGCCTGGGTGGCTTAGTCGGTTAAGCGTCCGACTTTCGCTTAGGTCATGATCTTGCGGTTCGTGGGTTCGAGCCCCGCATCGGGCTCTGTGCTGACTGCCAGCTCGGAGCCTGGAGCCTGCTTCGGACTCTGTGTCTCCCTCTCTCTCTGACCCTCCCCTGCTCACGCTGTCTTTCTCTCTCTCCTAGAAATAAAGAAAACATTAAAAAATTAAAAAAAAAATTTTTTAAATGTTTTTTATTTATTCTTGAGAGAGAGCGAGCGAGAGTGCGAGCAGGTGAGGGGCAGAGCAAGAGAGGGACACAGAATCCGAAGCAGGCTCCAGGTTCTGAGCTGTCAGCACAGAGCCTGGTGTGGGGCTTGAACCCATGAACCTTGAGATCATGACCTGAGCCGAAGTCAGTCACTTAATTGACTGAGCCACCCAGGCCCCCCTAAAATTTTTCTTTTAAAGCGGAAATTAATATAGTGAAACTTATAAATTAGATCTGGGTTTTATTTGTCCACAGTTATTCGGTTATTGATATCCAAAGATAATAGAAAGTTACTTTGTATTACAACCAAGTTGATAATCTGAAGCGCACGGATATTTAAACATCAAAGGAGAGAAGTTTTTAAAAAATCAGCTACTGTAGTATATAGTAAAGAGAGTAAGACTTGGATGTGGGTAAAAAAATTTCAGTTTCTGAATCTGTTACTGGTACTCTAAATTTCTATCCCTTTAATTTCTTCTCTGTAAAATGAAGTTATTGGGGCACCTGGGTGGCTCAGTCGGTTAAGCATCTGATTTCAGCTTATGTCATGATCTCAGGGTTTGTGGGTTTGAGTCCCTCATCGGTCTCTGTGCTGACAGCTCAGAGCCTGGAGCCTGTCTTCAGATTCTGTGTCTCCCTTTCTCTCTGGCCCTCCCCTGCTCATGCTGTCTCTATCTTTCTCTCTCTCAAAAATAAATAAAACATTAAAAAAATTTTTAATGAAGTTATTAGTAAAATTTAAAATTACATTGCAGAAATGTAAAGATTTTTCACAAAAATCTTATTGTGTTGAGTATATAAAGACACATTTTATAATATCACAATTATACTTTAAGACAATTATATAATCTGTACATTTTCTCAATATGCACAGCTTTAAGAGCAGTCCCTTTGAACTCTTTGCTGTGAATATTGTAAGGAATGAGGTTATTTCTGAAAAAATAGTAAATTGTTTGACCTATACATTTAAGTTTTTCTTAATAGTTTTATCTGAGAAAAGTGATTCTAACGGTATCTATCCAGTCATTCCATCTAGTCATCCTCCACATCTCTTAGATTTAAAATATCATAAAAAGTTCTTTTTTCCAAACTTGACATTTAATTGTCAGGGCATAGTGAGCTTTTAGTAATACTGATTTAATTTTAATTTTATTAAAGTTGTTCTTTTCATAGTGGTTAATCAGTAAAGGCCCTTTTACTTGGTTTAATAAAAAGCTTTGGGGGGAGAGAGGTAGTATATTATGTCTGGATAAGAAAGTACTGTTTTGGTGGGATATACCAAAAAGAATTCCTGAGCTAAGTTATATCTTGATTATTTTATCTTTAAGACCTATGGGATTTTTAAGTTAGACTAGATTAATGTTTTTTCTCTTGTAGTTTGTCATTCCTTCTGAAATGAAATCTGAATGTCATCAAGATCAACCACATGCAGTTTCTATTCAGAGTTCTGAAATGATTGCCACAAATACAAGGCACTGTCCAAATTGTCGACATTCTGATCTAGAAGCTTTGTTTCAAGACTTTAAAGATTGTGACTTTTTCAGTAAAGCGTATACCAGCTTTCCCAAATCTGGTGACAATTTTAATCTGTTGCATCCAATCTTCCAAAGACATGCTCATGAACAAGATACTAAAATGCATGAAGTTTATAAAGGAAATATTACTCCCAAGTTGAATAAACACACTCTTAAAACTTCTGCTGCCACTGATGTTTGGGCTGTGTACTTTTCTCAGTTTTGGATAGATTATGAAGGGATGAAAAGTGGAAAAGGGCGACCAATAAATTTTGTAGACTCTTTCCCTCTTTCCATTTGGATTTGCCAACCAACAAGGTATGCACTGTCACAAAAAGAGCTGCAGACTTGTAATCAAGCATCTCTAAATACATCACAAAGTGAATCTAGTGATCTGACTGGACGATTGAAGCGGAAGAAACTCTTGAAAGAGTATTATAGTACAGAATCTGAGCCCTTGACAAATGGTAGTCCAAAATCTTCAGATACATTTCTAAGATTTTCCTCTTCATCATCGGATGCAGATGTTCATGCCCTGGTTCACATTCATAAACACGTCAGCATGCAAATCAATCACTACCAGTATCTGCTTTTGCTTTTCCTCCATGAGTCACTCATTCTGCTTTTGGAGAACTTAAGGAAAGATGTAGAAGCTGTGACTGGTGCTCCTCCTAGTCAGACATCCATTTGCATTGGAATTTTACTTAAAAGTGCAGAAGTGGCTCTTTTGCTACATCCAGTGGATCAAGGAAATGCTCTTAAGTCTCCTGTTGCTGAAAGTGTGAGCCCAACAGTTCCTGATTATTTACCTACAGAAAATGGAGAATTTTTGTCCTCAAAAAGGAGACAAGTTAGTAGTGGTAGAAATCAAATCAGAAGTGTAACTGTTAATCACATGTCAGACAACAGATCTATGAGTGTTGACCTTAGCCACGTCCCTTCGAAGGATCCTTTGCTTTTTAAATCAGCTAGTGATACAAATTTGCAAAAAGGTGTTTCTTTTGATTATTTATCAGATAAAAACTTAGGGAAAATAAGTGAAGATGAAAGTAGTGGAATTGTGTGCAAAAGTGGATCAGGAGAAATTGGATCAGTAACAAGTGACAAAAAGGATTCATTGTATACAGATTCACATAGTGTCTTAAACTACAGAGAAAATTCGAGTTTGCTGTCCTTTGATAATGATGGTAATCAAAACATACTTTCAAATAATTTAACTACTAGAGGACATGAAACCATAGAGTCGGTCTTTAAAGCTGAAGATTTGCTTCCAGAAACAGTTTCACTTTCTGAGAACCTAGAAATCAATCAAGAAGAAGCACCCACGGTTAGAACACTTAAATCACAGTCATCTTTAAGGTAACAACATACTATTGGAATTTGGGGGTTTTTGATTTCGTGTGCATGTGTATGTGGTAGGGGCCATATTTTGGTTTTGGACAGAAAACCTCCTGACAAAATATGGCATTACAGTTAATAGATGAAGAATAGGTTTTATGTGATGAGTTTCTAATAATTTTGTCAACAGTGGAAAGCCTAAGGAACGGATCCCGCCCAACCTGGGTCCACTCTGTGTTTCTTATAAGAACATGAAAAGAAGCCCCTCACAGACCTCATTGGATACCATTTCACTTGACAGTATGATATTGGAAGAACAGTTGTTAGAAAGTGATGGAAGTGATACTCATATATTTTTGGAAAAAGGTAAAGCAATAGAAGTTTAACTATTCCTATTAAATAAATCTTAGAAGCATTCAAGGGTTAACTGTATGATAATTTAAAAACAAGCTGTGTTTTGTATGAGTTGGGCTTTTCTCATCCACTTTTTCTAGTAATTCATTTTTATGCTATTTTTAAAAGATACTGAGCTATGATGGGCACAAAATTTTTTTAAGATTGTCTTTTTCCACAGAGTTTTAGAAATAATGAAATACAGCACACTGAAAAATTAAGGCAGGTAGGTAAGAACACAGGGTGATCACATTGATTGTAGTGGCATTTATTTCAGATAGAAGATAATTAGAAGTCACTGTGTGGTACTGAAAGGGGAAATGAAGTGGTTGGACTGGGGTTATTCAAAAGTAGGATGGCACAGAGACAGGTGAAGCTGGCCGACTAGGAACCTGTTACGCCAGCACCACCCCAGCAATGCAGAGGCTGTGCTCAGTGTTTTTGAGTTCTTTTCATACTACATTTAGGGCTATAGTATCTCTAACATATTATTGCAGGTGTTATTTCTTATTATTTGCTAACTAACCACAATTTAATTTTTCTTGGCTTATTATCTTTTAAACAAGTCTTTGCTTGAGAAAGAGTTGAAGGATAGCCCATTTAGGTTAGAAATATTTAACATTGTTAGATCATTTGTATAAAACTGATTTGTTGATTTTTTTTTTTATTATTTCAGGTATTAAAAAGAACTCAACTACAAATTACCAGAGCCTAACAGAGAGTGCAAATGCCAGTGCAAATCTCCAGAATTTTGGTGAAACCTCTCCAGATGCCATCAGTACAAATTCAGAGGGTGCTCAAGAAAATCAAGACCTGGTAATCATTTCACAGAGATTCTATGAAGAGAAATGTCACCACTTTTATTTCAGATAAATATGTACAGATTTTATGACATTAATATGTAACGTGAATTGCCATAGTAGTGAGTGATTCACTTTGATCTTTCTGCTCTTGAAACTTCTTCCTTCTCTCTTACTGAATTGTTTTTCTCTCAATTTCATTTTTCTAAATCTGTTTTTTTCATACTGAGGAGGGGAGGTTCTTTCTTATTCCATCTTTTATCTTTTGACCTTTATGTAGATCCATTTAAGTACATTTTGAAAACAAGTTTGATGATTGATGATAGTCAGTCCTTCTGAGGAACTTTCTACAAAAGAAATATGTTACTGGTTTGTTTTAAGTCCTTCCCACCCAGTAAAATAGTCTTATAGATGACTTAGAAAATATGTTTAGCTTTCAGTGAAAATAATTTCACACAGAAATGTCATCTAATTAATCTTGGTGACCTAAAAAAATTCATCCCTTGACTGGATAGGAAGAAAGAAAGCTGAAGTTTGTCACTGTAATGTAATAACCATGTTTTATTGATCACAAGTATATTTTTGGTTATAATAGGTCGCTATTGTATTTTTTTTAATGTTTTATTTATTTCTGAGAGAGAGACAGCACGAGCAGGGGAGGGTCAGAGAGAGAGGGAGACACAGAATCTGAAATAGGCTCCAGGCTCTGAGCTAGCTCTCAGCACAGAGCCCGATGCGGGGCTTGAACCCACGAACCGTGAGATCATGACCTGAGCTGAAGTTGGACGCTTAACCTACTGAGTCACCCAGGCGCCCCCTCACTATTGTATTTTTAAAGATTATAGTAGTTCCGTGTGTCATTTCTTAAATTTTGTGTTGAATTACTTGGTATGCTAATATTATTTATGCAATCATTATTAGATGTCAGTTGTGGTGTTTAAAATTACTGGTGTTAATGGGGAAATTGACATCCGAGGGGAAGATATGGAAATCTGTCTTCAAGTGGACCAAGTGACACCAGATCAGTTAGGCAATATCAGTCTTCGGCATTACCTTTGTAATCGTCCAATAGGTAAGACTTTAATAGGATTTAAATTTGTTTTGTTTTTTACATATAACTCCTAAGCAGTTCTGTCTTTGATATAAATGAATTCAAGGAAAATTACATTTATTTATAATAATGTAAGAGATCTGTTCTTTCAGATTACCTTATTTTCATAAAGTATTTTGATCGTTATTAGAGATATAATGTGTTGAAGATATATTCTTTAATTTCTTTCTGTTTCTTTTGTTAAGTGCCATCTTTTTTAGTCTTCTCATTCTTTGAGATAATAGGTTTAAGAAAACAGAGCTCTTTATAAAGAATGATAAAATAATCCTAGGATGTCAAACTTAAGCCCTATGCTAGAATAAATGTCAATTTTTATATTCCATTATCTTGCTTATAAGCAGACATTTCCTGAGTCTGACATGATACTTGGTGTTTGGAAAAATCATGTGTCATGTTCTTATGGTCCTTCATTCTAACATCAACACCTTCATCTGGATGTAGAGAGATACGAACAACAAAACATGCAGTGTGTAAGGAGGAAACCACACAAAACCATCCCTTTCTCAAAGCTTTTATGGAGTTACCATTCATAGTTTTCAGTCATTTGAAGAAATTAACTTATTAGAATAGTTTTAGCAAGCATTTAAAATGACATTGTTCAAATTTTTAATTCTTTTAGAGTCACTGAGCTGTAATATTTTTCTTTGCTATATATACAGAATGCTATATCTGATACATAACATGTTGAAATACATAGTCCTGCATGGTATCAAATAAGTATGCTATCACCTCACATCCTGGGAATTGCAGGTAAATGTGCCGTTTGTCTTTAAATCAACATCATAGAAAAAAATTGTCTCCTGGCTTTTTTTTTGTATAGGCCTTGCAGTTTACAACATATCTGTTAAGAAATTTCAAGAATTTTCTGTTAGCAATATCAATCCCAAAAGCATGAAAAATAGTGGAAGCTAAATACAATTGGAAAGGTTTCATAGTGGGCAAAAAACCAAAATTTCAAAACCTATACCTCGTTCTATTCCCAATCCCAAGCACTTTTCAAATTGTACACTCTTAGAATTATTTCCAGTTGCTCAATTGTTTTTACTTATTTTCATGGTCACTTAGTACCATGTCCTATTATTTTGTTTCATGTTATTCCTTACTGGAGAAATCATTTTGAAATGCCGTATATCTATGGGTTGTATAGTCAGTGCTAATGCCTTATTTTTTCTCAATGGTCTTGGCTGTTTAAAGATAAAAAACGAGAAAGAAGAAAACAAAGAAACAAAACAAAAGAAAGGAGCAAGGGGAAATAGAATGAAAGGAAAAGGAGAAAAAACTAGCTTAGCTTGAACATTTAAAACATGAATAAACAATACGAACAAAGATTGATCTCCAATTTGTATCTGCTGTCACTCTGGCATGACCAATTAAAAAATTGCTAAGTTGTTTTTGGTTTTGTTTGTTTTTGTTTTTCTATAATGTGTGGATTTTGGAGTCTTTTAGTAGGAAGATCTTTATATAATAATTTCATGGCATAAGAGGTAGAAGAGAGGAGTGAGTTTTGACTAGTGAAGGTTTTATCTCTGCTCCAAATAAATACTCTTTTTGTTTGAAATTAGTTCTGGCTCTAAGCTCCTTAGACTGAGTAGGTATCTCACATACTCGTGTGTGTGTGTGTGTGTGTGTGTGTGTGTGTGTGTAGATAAATAGATGAAAGGCAAAACAAAATCACATTTACAAAGTCATTTGTTTCTAATTTTTCTTATTATTAAATAGACAAGTTAATTAAGTCTTACTTTTCTTAATATAGGAAAGAACACTAACCATTATCACTTCATGGCTTTTACCTTTTATTTTAAATATTTCTGACTTCTTAATTGTTTAAAGAATTCTTTAGGATTTTATTTGAACTTCTCCTGTATCTATATTACTTACTTATTTTGAATGTTAGTTTGTATTACTAACATTGATTAAACATCATTCTATACCTAAAATAAAGTTATAAAAACAACTCATCACTTTGAATTGTGTATGGAGATCTGTCCTTGATGCATAAATATGGGCATTTATTCTCTTACATCCTCTCCCCCTCACAAATATGTGTATATTTGACTCTATAAGACTAAAGGATTCACATCCTTGTTGAGGGAAAATAAACATTTCTCCATCATGAATTTAATTAGCAGGCATTCTTACAAGGACCCATGAGACTGGTGACTTTGATATTTCAATAACTGAAATAGTCTCACTTTTTTAAAACAATTAGTTTTTAACTCATGGGTTCTATAAATTGTGAAACTGATCGTACTTTTCTCTTTGCTGCTAGGAAGTTCATTTTTGGTTCAACTGTGGCACAGAAAAGTAAATAATGTATTTGGAGTCATTGATCTTACTGTCCATCCTTACCTTTTTTCTTCTGTCCTTTTCCACTGCTTACTTATTTTTCTTTTGATTATGCCATGAACATGTGGCCTTTTATTCTTTTTGGAGCTAGGTAATGTGATGTAAACAAAATAGTTACAGTGAGGGTAGGTTCACTTAAGTAGTCATCCTGAAAAACTTTTGTTTTTTAAAATCAGATATTCTAGGAGTCTTTACTGAAATGATAAAATTTGTGTTTGAATTGAGTATTTATCTCTGTAAGCCACCTCAAAGTCTTTTTTTGGAACAAGGCCAAAGCATGAATACATATATACTATATTTATATATAAATCAGTATATGCATATATATAATTTATATCTCCCTTGCTATACTTTCAGTTTTAAAATTGTCTTCTACTAGAGACATTTTAATGAGGTCTTGTCTATTTACTTTTATAGTTTTGCAAGGACCCAATTTTAATGAGGAAAGTACAGAACTTCAGGTTTTTGTTACCTCTTGAGAAATGGCTCAAGAGCCGCTTTAAATGTACATACTCAGACATTCTAAGTATCTTAGGTATGCATCATATCAGGTTTATATCTAGCATATGTTTTTATGGTACCAAAATATTAGAAAATATAGATAAAGCAACAATTGCCATGGAAAGGTCTATAAAAATTGAAGTTAGGACTGTGTGTGGTATATTGTACATGAACTGTAAATATCCTGTAAATGAAAGAAAATGTTAAAACTTTGAGATATTATTGCTTTAACATCATACAAAGTGACAATAATGTCTTAATGACAAATAATTGAGAGCTTTTGAATAGTGCTACAAGTTATCATTTTTATGTGTTCTTTTTTCCATAGGTTCAGATCATAAATCTGTAATTCATTCCAAATCCTCTCCTGAGATTACTCTGAGATTTGAGAGTGGGCCTGGTGCTGTAATACACTCTGTGCTTGCAGAAAAAAATGGATTTTTGCAATGCCATATAGAAAACTTTAGCACAGAGTTTTTTACATCCTCTCTTACTAATATTCAACATTTTTTGGAAGATGAAACTGTTGCAACCGTGATGCCAATGAAGATACAAGTTTCTAACACAAAAATAAATTTAAAAGTATGTTAATTAGTATCTTTATATTTTCGTGTTGTGATCAATGTTAACATTGCCAACTGGGATTTTAATTCATGCTTAAGAACGTGTCTTCTCTATACTGTGTACCTGTTAGCATTTATTGAAATGAATTTTTTGGTCTTTGTGGGGGAAATAACGAAGAGATCCTTCATAGAAATTAGAAATTAGAAATCAGTAACTTTAATAACAACATTCTGATACAGTTTCTCTTTCCTGCAGGACGATAGTCCTCGTAATAGTACAATAGCCCTTGAACCTGCTCCTGTAACCGTTCATATTGACCATCTTGTGGTAGAGAGAAATGATGATGGCTCTTTTCATATCAGAGGTATATATGAAAGACATTGTAATTGAACACCTACTGAAATTTAAAACTATTGATATGCTGATTTGTTTACTTGTACTTACTGTTTATAGATCTATAATATGTGGTAGTAGATGATTGAGGGACATTTTCACTACCTTAGAATAAAATATTATTATCTATATATGGACCTCCTACCTCAGAAATAACTCATCTACAGTTGATTTAATACCTGTTCTACAAATGTATTTTGAATGAAAGTGACAAGAGGCATTTATCAAGGTCTTACATGGCTCTTAAGCTTACTTGGGTCTCTTTCTTAGCTTTATCTCCCACTACTCTTTATTTATAACTCAACCAAGTTGGTGTACGTCCTTTTAACAAAATTTTTCATGCACTTTTCCATCTCTGTGTCTCATTTGCCTTTTTATTTCTCATTAAAGTTGTATGTTCCCTTCAAAGTTATCTCAAGCTCCTTTTCAATCAACTGTTCTTGATAACCTGGTGTGACTTCTTATAATTATTGGGTACTTATTCTCTATACGTTAATTACTTATAGTATATTCCTATGTATTTAGTTCTGCTTTAGTATCTCGATGTAAGAATTAGTGTCTCCTTGTAACAATATTGTTAAGATCTCTGGTGTAAGGGCATATCTTACAAGATGGTATGGAGTAAAGGGAAGGGCTTGGTTTGGTGACTTAGGTATTCTTGTCTCACTTTCTTAGTAATTTCTTGGGAGTGATATATGAGGAACTGCTATATGCATCTATTTCATCTACCAGACCTCATGAAATGACATATGTTAAAAGACAAATAAGGTTATAACAGTAAGAAAAGTAAGCGCCATCAGTGGGTCAGAAATCCTTAAAAGAGCACAAAATCAGAGCAAACCAAAGAGGCAAAACCAGAAAAATCTGGGGCCATAATCTATCTATTGCTAAGGTAGGATCAGTTCATGGGGAACTCTTAAGGGACGAGTTTACCTTTCTGGAATTTGGAATTATCTAGAGCAAAGAAGTCAGGTCAATAAAGATAAAAATGTCAGTTTCTTTTCTGATAATAGCTCACATGGAGCACATAGCTTAGGTGTAAGGAGGTAAGTTTGCTGTACGTCTCTTTCCCCAAAGTACTTAAGATCCCAAACTGAAGTTCTGTCTTGTAGAGAAAGCAGAATAGAATGCATCCTTTTTGCAGGCAATGCTTATACCAAAGAAAGGAGAGACTGAATCACACATACAGAGTCCCTTTTTCTAAACTCACCACTCAAGTGGTGCCAAGAGAGTACAGGAGAGTTTTTCTCCTCAAAAATTCTAACAAAATACTGAAATTAGAATAGATCCCTGACGCAATAGGATGAACAATCTAGGCCCTTCTTTTTGAGACCGTTTCCTGTGCTTCTACCAAATAGCACACTTCAGTGGGGTTTACAGATAGACTAAAACATGGAGAGTAAATTCTACAGCTGCCATGCCCCAAGAAGGGAATGATTTTATACCCAGTTAATGAAGTCAGTAACTCTCTCTTCTCCCAACCCCATCACTGGATGTCAGCTGTGGCACATAGAAGCAACATCCATAGTCAAGAAAATGGGATAAGCAAACGTCCAAAAATTCTCAAACATTTGACTGACTGTAAATTGGGAGTAGTCATGATTATTGTAAGCAAGAAATATTCCCTAGCTATTTGAGTAGAGAAGGAGTTTTACAAAGATAATTGGAATGGAATAGAATTAAGAGACCAGAAATAAACTCTTACATTTATGATTAATTTTTGACAATGGTGGCAAGATAATTCAATGTGGGAAAGACTAGCCTTTTCTATAAATGGTGCTGAAACATATCCACATGAAGGCACCTAGCTAGACCTCTTCTCTGTATCACCCACAAAAATGTACTCTTCATGGACCAGAGATTTAAAGTAAGAAGTAAAACTATGTTGACTCTTTAAAAGAAAATACAGGATTGAATCTTAATGACCCTGGGTTAAGAAGCCGCCTCAGAAACCACACAAAAAGCATAAATGACAAAAGAAAAATGTAGATGAATTGGACTTCATGAAAATTTAAAACTTTTATGCCTCAAATGATACTGTCAGGAAAGTAAAAAGACAGCCCCCAGGATGGAAGAAATATTTATTTATAAGTCATTTATTTGGTAGGGGGCTGGTATCCAGGCTATATAAAGAACTAAAAACTGAAAAAGATAAATAACCCAATTTAAAAATAGGCAAAGATTTGAACAGATATTTCTCTGATGAAGGTATAAAAATGGCCAATGAGCACATGAAAAGATGTTTGACATCATTAGCCATTATGGAAATGTAAATCAAAACCACAATGAGCTAACACTTCAAACCTACTAAGGTGACTAATCAAAAAGCCAGATGATAGCAAGTGGTGGGAGGGTGTGCAGAAGCTGGAACCCTCCCACATTGCTGGGCTTGTGAAATGGTGTGGGCGCTTGAGAAACAATTTGGCAGTACCTCTGAAAGTTAAACAGAATTACTTATGACCCAGAAATTCCACTCAAGAGAAGTAAAAACAGAGGTCCACTCAAAAACTTATACACAAATGTTGATATTGACAAGAACAATATTCATAATAGTCCAGAAGTGGAAACAAACCAGGTATCATCGTGCTGTAAGTGGACAAGGAAATTGTGATATATCCATACAATGGATTATTATTCAGCAATAAAAAGAATGAAGCACTAGTACATGTTATAGCACGGAAGCTTTGAATACATTATGCTAAATGAAAGAGGCCAGTTATGAAAAACCACATTTTATATGATTCCATTTACATGAAATTTCCAGGGAAGACAAATCTGTAAAGACAAAGTAAATTAGTGGTTGCCTAGGGCTCTAGGCAGGATTGGAAGGAAATGGGGAGAGACTGCTAATAGGTACAGTGGAATTTGAAGGTGATGAAAATGTTCTAAAAGTGATTGTGGTGATGGTTGTACCATCAGAGAGCATACTAAAAACCTGTGGACCACACACTTTATTCTTTAAAATTTACTTTTATTTTTTAATGTTTATTTATCTTAGAGAGACAGAGTGTGGACAGGAGAGGGGCAGAGAGAAAGGGAGACAGAATCTGAAGCAGGCTGTAGGCTCTGAGCTGTCAGTACAGAACCAGACTTGGGGCTCGAACCCATGAACCATGAGATCATGACCTGAGATGAAGTTGTATGCTTAACCAACTGAACCAATCAGGCACCCCTGGATCACACACTTTAAATGGATAAATGGGACATGTGAATTATTTAATAAAGCTCTTAAAATATATATGTTTTAGAATTATGGGAGATCTGAGGAACCAGGCTCAAGGTTTACCTGTCAGATCCATGCTCCCAAACCACACTACAGTGTAATCCAGTGTGATGGGACACACTACTGCCTGACACTGGACACTTGATTGTTCATTTCACACTACTGTCATTATTGGTCCATGTATTCAGCTTTACTGCAATTGCTGCAGCCAACACTATTTGAACTTTTATCCTTAGGAACTTGACCTTGCCCCCACTGTCACTGCTGCTGCCCCCAGAAAGAGAAAGTTCTCTCCCTTCCCTTTTTTAGTATCTGAGAGAAATCTAGGATGAGTACAATTTGAGGCAACATCTGGGTCACACTCATGGAAAGGAATCTGGAAACTTCAGTAGTATTTTCCAACATTTATTGAAGGAAGCAAATTTTATTCCCCAGTGAAACTTTTCACATAAAGAAAGGAATTCTGATGTTGGCTGGGTGAAATAAATGACAAAATGCCTATTTCAAAAACCAGTAAGAGGCAAGAAATAAATGAGTAATACAGTTGATGCTAAAGAAAAGTATTGATGCTAAAGAAAAGTAGAGACTTTTATAGACACATGATAGGGCTTTGAACTCCTAAAATAAGAACAAGCTCTTATGGAAAATAACCAGTCAAAAAAATGTTTGAAAATTTAAAGATTATCTTTGAAATAAAACCAGTAGCTCACCTAAAACTCGCCAACTTTAAGAGATAACCAGAATTGTACCTCTTCTTACCATCTATGACACTAGCACTTTCAAATCTGCTTGAATTATTACAGTTAATTCCTAAGTTGTGTGTCTTCTGCCTTTGTTTGCCTACACTGTTATCAACCCAGCAACCAAATTTAATTTGTATAAAATAACTTCTCAACTAAAGACCCTGTACTGGCTTCCTTTTGCAATCCAATTAAAATTACCACTTCCAGTGGCTTTTGACGTCCAACGTGATCTTGTTCTTTGCTTTTCTCCATTGTTATCCCCTGCTCTTCTCCCCCTTTGCACCATTCACTCCTGTCAGTCTGACTCCTCTCTCAGGACGTTTTTACTCGGTAGTACTTTTGCCTGGAATTCTCTTATCTCAGATACCCCTATGCCTCAGTTTATTACTTTTTGCAAGTCTTTGGTCAAATCCCCCCTTTTAGATAGTTCTGTCCATCCATTCTCCACCCATTCCCATCACTCCTTTTCCCCCTAACCCTATATATTGTTCTCGGTGGACATTTAGAACCTTTTGATATACTATATTCTTTATTTGTTGAGTAGAATGTAAGTTACATGAGTGCAGGAATTCATTTGATACATTGCTAAACCTGTCTCCTAAAACGCTGTCTTACCTAGTAGATATTCAAAAAACATATTTGTGTAATGACTAGGTGAATAAAGACCGTTAAAAACACTGGGCAGAGCTAAAGGTTGAATAGGTTGTCCACAACAACAGTGTTCAGCATAACTTCCTGCTTATGGAAATGTTCTATAATCTACAATGAAGTGGCTATTTAGCACTTGAAATGTGGGTAGTGCAACTAAGGAACTGAATTTTAATTTTATTTAAAATTTGATCAATTTAAATTTGAATAGCCATGTGTTGCTAAATGATTGTTATTTTGGATAGCACAGATAGGGTAGACTGAACAAAGGTTATTCTCTAAGAGGGAGGGGGAAGAAAAGTTTAAAAAGTATGGTAAAATCATTGAGACAACCATTAAGAAAGACACACAATAGGG